GAATGCAGGTGTGTATAGTGAATGCGGGGTGTATGGTGGATGTGGTGTGTTTGTGGTGGGGTGAAGGTGTGTATAATGGATGCGGCGTTGATGCTGGATGATGTGTCTGGCTGGATGGCGGTGTGTGTGCTTGGCGTGGATGGTGTGTGTGCTGGATGGTGTGTTGGGGTGCTGGATGGCGGTGTGTGTGGGGTGCTGGATGGTGTGTGTGGGTGCTGGATGTGTGTGTGCTGGATGGTGTGTGTGTGTGGAGTTAGCTGGATGATGTGTGTGTGGGTGCTGGATGAGTGTGTGGTGGAGTTAGCTGGATGATGTGTGTGTGTGAGGTGGGGTGCTGGATGATGTGAGGTGCTGGATGGGTGTGTGTGTGCTGGATGATGTGTGTGTGAGTGCTGGATGATGGGTGTGTGTGAGTGCTGGATGATGTGTGTGTGAGTGCTGGATGATGGGTGTGTGTGTGCTGGATGATGGGTGTGTGAGTGCTGGATGATGTGTGTGTGTGTGTGTGCTGGATGATGGGTGTGTGAGTGCTGGATGATGGGTGTGTGAGTGCGGGGGGGAAGCATTTTTTTACTTTATGTATAATTTGTATTTATCCCCCCTCCCTGCTTCTTACCTTGTCAGGGAGGGGGGAGATCGCCTGGTGGTCCGGTGGAGGGAGGCAGCCGCTGCACACAGGAGCCATCACACGCAGTGTTCCCTCTCCAGCTTTAACTCTCGCGAGACTCGCCTGTGCGGAGAGTTGCCATGGAAACAGCCGCGGGTCTCGCGAGAGTTATAGCTGGAGAGGGAACACAGCGTGTGCTGGCCCCTCTGTGCAGGTAGCAGGGCCGGTCCTGCAGGATCACTAGCGGGAACGGCGTTCCTGCTTTGGAAAAAGTGCAGGAACGCCGTTCCCATGCGTTCCTGCAGGACTCGAGCCCTGGGTTAGGTTACAGTTAGTTATACTGGGTGGGTTTATATTATTAAAGAGACACTCCAGGCTCCCACACACGTTAGATGCACTGTGTAGGTTAGGTTACAGTTAGTTATACTGGGTGGGTTTATATTATTAAAGGGACACTCCATGCTCCCACACACGTTAGTTGCACTGTGTAGGTTAGGTTACAGTTAGTTATACTGGGTGGGTTCATATTATTAAAGGGACACTCCAGGCTCCCACACACATTAGATGCACTGTGTAGGTTAGGTTACAGTTAGTTATACTGGGTGGGTTTATATTATTAAAGGGACACTCCAGGCTCCCACACACATTAGATGCACTGTGTAGGTTAGGTTACAGTTAGTTATATTGGGTGGGTTTATATTATTAAAGGGACACTCCAGGCTCCCACACACGTTAGATGCACTGTGTAGGTTAGGTTACAGTTAGTTATACTGGGTGGGTTTATATTATTAAAGGGACACTCCAGGCTCCCACACACGTTAGATGCACTGTGTAGGTTAGGTTACAGTTAGTTATATTGGGTGGATTTATATTATTAAATGGACACTCCAGGCTCCCACACACGTTAGATGCACTGTGTAGGTTAGGTTACAGTTAGTTATACTGGGTGGGTTTATATTATTAAAGGGACACTCCAGGCTCCCACACACGTTAGGTGCGCTGTGTAGGTTAGGTTACAGTTAGTTATACTGGGTGGGTTTATATTATTAAATGGACACTCCAGTCTGTGTAGGTTAGGTTACAGTTATTTTGTACCGCTGCCCGTTCTACTTCACGATCAACTAGATTAATGATGTTCGGGAGATATGTACTACCGACTGAGGGGAGCTTTTGCTCCCTAAAAGCCAGGGGGAGTTAGTCTGTGTTCACACAGGAACCACCGAAAGCCGACCAGCCGTCACCATCATTTCACTGAAACTGTTTTGGGTTATCGCCTCGTGGCCGGTCAGAACTTTACCAATTCCGTTCTACCGAACAGATCTGAGTGCTTTTTTTATATGATGGGCGCTCAGATCCAAGCTATTCAGGGATATACGAATTGTGGGGTTCCTGTGAATTAATACTATTTTTGGGGTGTTTTGTGTATGTTATATATTTTCCTGTACCGGAGAGATAATGGAGTTACTCATTTTGGACTCAATTCTCTCTCAGACATTGGGACGCCTGGAAGGGGCTTGTGTACTTTTTGAATGGAGACCCCATGCTGGGGATCTGTGCATAAAAGGCTGAGTTTATGTGGAATAAATCAGTTGTCCTCCCAGAACTGTGTCGTGCAGTTACTAGGGAGGAGGGCTATTCACATTGCAGTATCTTGTTCCTGAGTTCCAGTTATTGGTGATCCAGTGGAGGAAAGTCTTGGTCAGGACTAGCGTTCCGCTACACCGGCTCCCACACACGTTAGATGCACTGTGTAGGTTAGGTTATAGTTGGCTACAGCGGATGGGTTTATATTATTAAAGGAGGTATTTCAAATTGTACAGAATTAAAATAAGGAGATCCTGAAGAATGAGAGACACCCTCAAAAGAGTCGCAGGCAGAACAGATCAGACATCCTACAGGAGATTCTCCTGCTCTCCAAGTATAGCAAGCTCAGTGCATGTTATCTGGTTGCTGTTGTCACTCCCAGGCTGTCAGTGCTGGCTCAGTATTATAGCAATTCAGTAATGATGACATGCCAACACTGCAGCCAGCGTGTTGGCATCATGATTTATGTTTGCCCAGCCTAGAGAAGTGTCGTAAAGGAGAGCTAGGGGCATGGTTGGTTGTCTAAGTGCATAAAATGGAACATTAATGATTTTATGTTGAACGTTTGTATGCTTGTTATATAGAAGGCGTATCTGATTAACACAAGACTACTTCCTCACAAATTACCGGTTAATCACTTTCAGATGATAAAGATGATGGGCTGAATCACAGGCCACAACAACCTCATTTGATTCCAATTTAATCAGAATCCGTAAGCCATCCATTCAGTATGTCCCTGAAAGCATATTTGTGTTAAAGGGACACTATAGTCCCCAGAACAACTACAGCTTATTGAATTTGTTCTGGTGAGTAGAATTATTCCCTTCAGGCTTTTTGCTGTAAACAATGTCTTTTCAGAGAAAATGCAGTGTTTACATTACATCCTAGTGATAACTTCACTGGCCACTCCTCAGATGGCTGTTAGAGATCCTTCCTGGGTCATGGCTGCCTAAAATGCATCCAAACATTCAGTGTCTCCTCCCACTGCATGCAGACACTGAACTTTCCTCATAGAGATACATTGATTCAATTCATCGCTATGATGAGATGCTGATTGGCCAGGGCTGTTTGAATCATGCTGGCTCTGCCCCTGACCTGCCTCTTTGTCAGTCTCAGCCAATCCTATAGAGAAGCACTGTGATTGGATCAGGCTACCACTTCTGATGATGTCTACAGATAACTTGTTTTTCTGAAGCAAGCAGCATGCAGAGTTACAGCTTCAGGCTTGAATACAGTAAGATTTTACTATATTTAGGGACTGTGACAGACCGCCAGGCACCTACGTTAATCGTGGCTTCCTAGTACTTGCAAGTACCATAAGCACTGCGCTGGAACACCATACCTTCTGCAAACCCACAAACCGCCAGTTTGGTTGGGATCTCGCTGTCTCCTAGCCACCCTGCACCTATGACCAGGATCCAGCTTCCAGGACATAGGTCCGGGGTGGGTAGTCCAGAGAGCATAGCAGGAACAAGCTCTTTCAAGAGCTTAGTGATTATCCTCAGCGAATATAGTGATTATAGCAATCCCCCAGAGTGTATGTAGTTCTCCAATCCCCCAAACACGAGCCAAGACTTCATGAAGGTGCAAGATGATCTGAGCTTTAATGGTTCAAGTTGGCTTTTATACAATTCCTCAGGCCAGAGCCACAGCCCCTGGACCTGATGGGGCACAGGAAAACAAAGATACAAACCAAACAGAACAAACATGTAACGGACCGTTTTGCACACAAGGGGTAAAAACCGTTTAGGCGATCGGCCCCCTTTCCAGAGATCCAGGCACAGCTACTGCAGAACACCAAAACTCACGAACTGGATACAAAATAGCACTCCAACTCCCGAACTGGAACCTCCCAAATAGCTGCTAGCAGACGAACAGGAAAAGCAGGCGAACAGCTTACACTCCTGGCAATCAGTCTCTAACAGCATACAGTGAATCCCCCCAAGAACGAGACAAGGCTCCGTGTTGAGGGTCAAGCAGTGGTCTGAGGTGCTGGCACACCCAGCCTGGTTTTTATTACAGTCTTGCAAATACAGGACCGCCCACAGGGAGGTATAAAACAACCAATCACATCACGGTTACATCCCACATATTCCCTCCCCTTATCCTGAGAGGAAACTCAATTACACAGACAGTTAAAACATACTTTCTACCCAACTTTCATAACTCTAAAACCATACATCACATTCACATAAAATTACATATTTGGAATCAATCCATTCAGGGGAGCAACATATTAAAAAATGGCACAAATCAGACAAGGGGTTCAAAAGTTAGTAAAAAGTCCGTTGTGACTAAATGAAGCATGGCTTTCTGGCCCAAACCAGTTTCAGAGTCTTCTATCCTGGAGATAAGTAATTCAATTATCTCCCAGGACAGACACAAGACTCCATTAAGCACATGGTTGCAAAAAGACACAAAACACTTTAAAACACATAAAGTCACATTTATTACATAAAACAGACATGTAACATATCCCCAGATAGCTCAGGTCCGAGCGCACATTATTAAGCGAATGGCGCTCAGACCACACGAATACAGTTTAATCACCATGGAGCCAAAGTCTTTACAGTCAGTTTCATACGAATGGGCTCCATGGGATTCCTATCTGGGGTGTAACACATTCAAACAAATCTACCGAACCCCAGGCAGAAAAGCACGAATGAAGCTTTTCTGCAGGTAAAAAAAAAAAAAAAATGATGTCTTTTAACAGGGGGCCATAGTCCAAAGGCAGCAGGCGAGCAACCAGGCTTCTCCAATGCAATGTGGCGAGATTGGTCTCGTCACAAAACATACAGTCTGTGACGCGCCCATGTACAGCACACAATCCCTCCCCTCTGCTTGGGAGATAATTGAGTAGAGTCCTGTAAGTAACTCAATTATATCCAAGCAGAAAAAAAAAAAAGAAAAAAAACAAAAAAAAAAACATTTTCACAAAGTTCAGAAAGTACCCCAACACAAAACATACCCCCAAAATGTTACATCCCCAGATAGCCCTGATCTGGGTGAACAACATATCCAAAAATCACCCAGAGCAGGGGTTCAAAAGTTTCATGGAAGTCTCTTTTTGACTGGCTGCAAGCATGGCTTCATGCCAAAAACAGTTCCAGGGAATTAGGAGCAGCAGGCTGTCTCTTTCTGGAGTACAAAAGTACTTACATTACATGAATGGAGCCTTTTAACGTGTATTGGGCAAGGTATATTGCAGGGCCCATAATAACAGGGTAGGAGGCAAGCAAACATGCCCCTCTAAAAACTTGTGGCAAACTCACAGTATAATGGGAGTTTGTAACAGGGAGGCATGAAGGGACCAGGGTGGCTTTAACCTGATAGGCTCAGGAATACCCGTTTGTGTTCCTGACCCTATAGTGCTCCTTTAAAATAATGAATTCAATATAAAAAAAAAAAAAAAAACCCTGATGCAACTTGAAGTTAAGAACATCTCTGAAATATAAGCAGAGCACAAAGGAGCTGTTGCGGATTAGTAAATGATCATCCTGGGTTTATCAGTAGTAAAAAAATAAAAAGTATGTATTTCTAACACTATAGTGCCCGCATTTCTATTTAGCCGACTAGGATGCCGCTGCCTGGGCTAAAAATGTGATTTTACCTATTCTCCCTCACAGCTCTGGTCTCTGGAGTGCTGCTCCACTTATGGACAAGGTCATTGGGATAGATCTCAATCAGTCTATTACATTTCAATAGCTTACCTGCACGGCAAGATGCCATACTACCCCATCCATCGCCAAGAGGATTGTTTGCAGATTCTGCACCACATCCTTAGGCGTGGAGCGTTCTCCCCAAGCCTTCATGTTGAATCTGAACCCAAGCACCTTAAAAGTATTATTTTACACAGTACACTATTAGCGGTTTTCTTTTTCTAAAACTATTCTTAAGGACATCCTAGGCATTATTTCCCTGGACAAGAGAGACCTGGATTTGGTGATTGAGTTGCCTTCGAGCTATAACAGTGTTTTAAAAGAGGCTGAATTCCTTTCTGTTTTGCTTATGCTGCCCAGGCACTTACAGTGCATTGCTTTCTGTCAGTGCCACAGAGGAAGGCCTCCACTGTACCATCTTAAAAAGTGGATCTTTCTCCCATCACTCTACAGTGACCAGCACATGGAGGATGCCACTCAATTAACCCCTTAGCCTCTGACATCAGGTCGTCCAATCACAGGCTGTACACAGCAGCCGAGAGGAAAGAATAAAAGATCCCGTACGATCTTGCGTTGTCCATCTTAATGTGTCTTATACCAGGTTTGGTTTTAGATTCTCATCTGCAGCTACAAATAACTGAACATTAGACAAATTTGTTTTTTTAAATAAATTTTATTTAACAGAAGAGACAGCCGATTTACTTCAGTTCTTTCACGGACAGACCTGAGGGATAGAAGAGAAGTTGATGAGATCAGCAGATTGACAAAATACAGTTTATTTTGGGCTGTAAGGCAAGCTATTAAAATACCTGTCTAAATCTGAAGAATTTACATGGCAATAATCACAAGGGACACTGCAGACACCATAATACCATATAGTTACAAACAATCACAACAATTTGCATTGTGATGTCATCTAGCTGTACAATCCTGTCATAACAGATTACCTCAACTTTCTATAAGAGCTGTGCTTTCGTTGATGGGATACAGCAATCCCAATTTTAAATGCAATAATACTAGAGTTAAAAATAACAACTTTACTTCAAAGTAAATGGAGTGAATCAGACTGACCGACCATTCCGTCTCTCCGACTTTAGTGGGGGTGGGATGAGACACCCAGGTAAGAACTCAAAATGTTCAAAGATGGTTTGATTACTTACAATGAGGGGTTCCAGGGAATTCCCCGTACTATAACCATTACAGCATTATAGTTGTTATGGTGCATTTAGTTTTCCTTGAAGTTACAGCTTAAGAGTTGTTGGAATAAAAGTCTGAATAATACAATGAACTCACCAGGTGGCAGGGACTGTTTCAGCTTTTCTGCCTTTTCTTTGTCTGTGATGACCAGTGTGTACAGGTACTTGCTGCAGCGCACCTTGAATTTGACATTGTTCTTGTTTTTCTTAATCTTGACAGCTGAAAAAAAAAAAAAAAAAAAAGTTCAATATGGAGCCCAGATTACCAGTGTTTGCAAATAAAATAATCTATCCCAATACGTGCATCCACAAAATGAGACTTGCCCATGTATTTCATAGACAAATTTATGGTCTGGCTAGTAGTTAAAAGGCACTTCCAGACCCCTAAAGTACTGTAGCTCGCTGAAGAAAAGCCATGTGTATGAAGAGTGTGCTATTTTTTTATTTTACATGAAGATTTCAATTGAGGCAGCTATTGCCTTTGGAACCTGCCTAGCAAAGACTTCATATTGGGAAGTTTGATTGAATAGCCACAGAAAGTATCTACTAAACGGCAATTTTTTTTATTGATTTTGTATTTCGCAGTGGAGTATCCCTTTAAAGTAAGAAATGAGAAATTAGTTCACCAGCATGTATAATGTGACATATTGGGCCTTTTAATGCCTCAGTGAGTGAAGACTGTGGGTAAATTATTCCAGATGCAAAATAAAATATTTTTTTGACTTTTCAGATTCCAGGAAGAATGACAAGCTGCTCCGCTGCTGTAACATGTAAAGCAAACCATCAGCATTTTGCATCATTCAGCAACATGGCACAGGGCGCATGGAAAACACTAGTTTTCCTGGCACTATAGTGCACCCACCCTCGGGGCTCTGGGGAGAGGAAGGGGTTAAAAATCGTACCTTTCTCCAGCGCCAGGCGGGGAGCTCTCCTCCTCCCCTCCTTCATAGCGACGTCATCTGCTGAATGCGCGGCAGGAGCCACGCACACAGCCAGTTCATAGGAAAGCATTTACAATGCTTTCCTATGGACGCTGGCGTCTTCTCACTGATTTTCACAGTAAGAAGCACGCAAGTGCCTCTAGCGGCTGTCAATGAGAGCCACTAGAGGCTGGATTAACCATATAAACATAGCAGTTTCGCTGAAACTGCTATGTTTATATAAAAAAAAAAAAAAAAGGGTTAACCTTAGCTGGACCTGGCACCCAGACCACTTCATTAAGCTGAAGTGGCCTGGGTGCCTATAGTGGTCCTTTAATCTTGGTCTACATATTTTGATTAAAATCCATATATTAGCATCAGGAATTCGCACAAAGAAGTAGAGGAAAGAAAAGTGCAAGGAAAAAAAAAAACAAAAAACGACAAAACAAAATCGGTAATGCACAAGCTGTTGCAAATAATGGCACGTCTGTAGCCATTACGAGAGATCACAAAGTGGAGCATTAATTGGCAGTTTGTAATACAATTGGACCGACTAATTCCAGCTCTTGTAAGCTATACTTAAAAAGGAGAAATGTTTTACTAAAACACATTTTGGCAGTAATCCTTTCATTTTGAAGTGTGCCACTTGAGATTATTTTAAAGAAAATCTTTACTTGAAGTTACAGCACAGCCAAAACCTATACACAGCATGATGTAGGGACTTAGTCAATCTTTGGCAAAAGGCAGACATTATGATGCCACAACCAACTGATGGCAACAGTGTCATCCATGACACCTTACTGTGCATGTATGATATTAACTATGCAGGATCCTCCTCAGGCCGTTTCGTACTCCTGTCTGTGCAAGGTTCACAGCCACAATAGCTCCTGGTGTATGAAGTATCGAGGCAAAAAGATGCAGACACCAGGGAGAGAGGCAAGTCTGCTTCCCTAAGAGTTCTCGCTTTAGTTACCTCTAGGCAAGCGGAAAGATCACCTTATGGGATCTTCACATACAATACACAGAGACTACAACAGTGGCTGTAGAGGAACATTCCATGTGTGCCAGGAGAGCACTGGAGCCGGCGCACTGTAATTTGAAGTTTTAGTACGGTATGGGTACTATGGGCTCCAATGCGCTATCTGGTCTTGTACAGTCAATCCGTGACTGTGCTTATTGACAGAGCGCTTGGCTGGTAATCTTAGCCACTGAGATCAGTCCTGCTTAGCTAAGAGCTAGTTAGATTTCATACAGGAGCATACCATAAGCAGGGGCCGTGGTATGTTGTCAAACCAACAAATTACACCAGGAAGCCACCATAGCCAATACAGCAAACTCTGGTGGTAATTGTGCTTGGAGTGTTAGCTTTTAAATCTGGTATGAGATTAGCCTTTCCCAAGATCACTCTCATGTTAGACACCTTCTACGGGTCTTATGACACGACCACATGTTTGTTAAACCATATTATCAGCTCCCTAAGCGAACACTATGAATTGCAGACATTTCAAACATCACTGTCACCCATCCAGATATCTATATTCACACAGTACAATGCTTTGAGCATCAAGGCAAGGAATCTAAGGATGAATTACTAACAATTTTAATGCAGCAAAACAGTAGCCACTTCATCAAAGGACACTGCACTTCGTAATCGACCAATATTGATTTTTTTTTTAGGGCAGATACCAATAATCTGAGTTTCAGGCAGATAGCCAATAACTTACCGATACTCTGTACATTTTAAAAAAAATAAAAAATAAAAAACCATTTTCTACACAAATCTACTGTTAACTGACCATGTTTTTCGTATCTCATTTTTTTTTTATTAAGGTAAATGCACAAAATATACATGCCAGTCAGAATTTGTTATGTTTTCAAGAATGTATGTGTAATGTGTAGTGGATGCAGTGAGTGTGTGTAGGTATTTTAAGTGTGTAAAAGTTTAAAAATGTTTTAAATTATGTTTTAGTCCCCCCTCCCTGCTTCTTAACTGGCCAGAGAGGGGGGCTTTGGCATTCCCTGATGGCCTGGTGGCATGGACTGTGCAGCTCCCCTGTCTAACTCACACAGCCTGTGTGCCGCATGGAGCATTGCCATTGTAACCTGTGGCAACGCTCTGGACATGCAAGAGTTAGACAGGGGAGCTGCTGGGAAGGTAAGAGGTGTGCTGGTCTCCAGGACCCTGATGGCAGATACCGATATTGTTGAAAATACAGAATATCAGCCAGACCAATAATCGGTCTATCCCTATATTGCACACCGCTAAAGACATATGGCACTTAAACACCTGACCATATAGTGATCAGACTACCACAAAAATATCTGGGTTCTGCAAGTAATACAATTCCCAGTCATAAATTAGTTATCGTTCTTCCATAAAATAAGTACACAGACTAATGGCCAAGCACCACAGAACAACCATAACCCAGTGCCAGAAACAAGCCATCAATACTCCGCAGTGTGTCCAGTTAGGGCTAAAGTGAGAATCACCTAAAAAAGGTGTGAGTTCAGTCAGATAAGCCTAGTGTCACTGACTGCCAATATCAAGTGTATAGATCTACAAATATATAAAATTAGGTATCCACCTCATATCAGACATATCCCACAATTCCTAAACTACACACAATCGGATTTGGGGACGGCGCTTACGGTGACCTATTACCGGTACACAGATCACAGCAGTAAAGGCCAAACAAGTCAAAAGTGGAACAGCTTCATCCGTACATCAGGCAGCAACGTGACTATCAGAGTGTAGACGAAGTATTATGCTCCTTAATGTTCAACCAGATCAAAGCAAATGTGATGGGTGCAGTTTAAAGGCACATGTTTGGTATAACAGCAGTTTAAATAACTACTTTCCTTCCATATTAATCCAGCATCTGCTTCCATTACTCTCAGACAGGATTCTACAAATCCAGGAAGTTCATTGCAAGTCTGTTACAGAGGGGGGTAACAGCTAAATTGAGAATTGAAGGTGGATAATAAAAAATAAATAAAATAAAAACCTAAAGAGAAACTATAGTGCCAGTAAAGCAAAGTTTTAGCATTGTAATCCCCACCACTAGAGGTGGAGTTAACCCTGAAAGGTAGTTATTGCAGTTTCTTAAAAAAAAAAAAACCCGCAATAATTAGCTTTGCAGGGTTAAAGGACCTAGGAATATGCACCTGGACCACTTCAATGAGCTCTAGTAGACTGGAAGCCTATAGTGAGCCTTTAAGGCCAGAGTAGCAAAAGGATAGCTGGCATATAGAAGCGTAATGCTTGGCAAATCTTACCTTAAACTTGAGTCACTTTATGAGACAACCCAGCAAACAAAGTCTCACTTATGTAAAAAATTTGTTCCAGAATACGGCATAGACTGCCCCTACCAGGGAGGGATTGTTGTCTATGCAAGTTATACTTCCACATGCAAGCGCTGCAGTGGTTATTGTACAAGGCAGCCATAGAGCTTAACTGTATTAGGAGAGACTCGCCTGTATCACCTTTAACGTTTTACCATAACTTTAGCATTTTGGATTAAATACACGACCACGCCAACTTTAGAGAATACATATCCCGTGAGAGCTGAATTAAAGACAATTTTACATCATGCAGGGACGCCCTGGTTAAAGGAACACTCCAAGCAGGCTGCAGTGGTTATGGTGTGTGGAGAGTTTCTTCAAACAGGGAAATGGCTGACATTGTCTATGGAACCAGACGAGATGTTCTGTCCGTTCCTCATCAGATTACTGTGATATCAGACTTAATGAGGTTTATCACTTACATTTGGCATCTTTTCTCCTGGCTGTCAGCAGGAAATCTTTGATTTCTTCAATTTTGCGAGGCTGTAAACATTAAAACAGGCTTTATAGACAAGACTCTAATACAGTCTTCCCCCTCCATGCCCCATGTCTCTCCCCATTCCGAGGCTTCCCCTCCCCATGCTGCCCTCGTGTCCCCCCTCTCCAGGCCCCTTACCATGTTGCTCTCCAGGCTCCCTACTATGTTGCCTCCCCCTCTCCAGGCTCCCTTTAACATGCTGCTCTCTCCAGGCTCCCTAACATGTTGCTGCTCCCTCTCCAGGCCCCTTTAATATGTTGCCCCTCTCCAGGCTCCCTAATATGTTGCTCCCTCTCTTCCAGGCTCCCTAACATGTTGCCTCTCTCTCTCCAGCCTCTCTCTTAACATGCCTCTCTCTCCAGGCTCCCCTTTTAACATAAGTTCTCTCTCCAGGCTCCCTTTTTAACATGTTGCCTCTCTCTCTCTGTGCCTCTCTTGCACATGTTGCCTCTCTCTCTGTTGCCCTTTAACATGTTGCCCTCTCTCCAGGCTCCTTTTAAATATGTTGCCCCCCCTCTCTCCAGGCTCCCTTTTAACATGTTGCCTCTCTCCAGCCCCTTAACATGTTGCCTCTCCAGGCCCTTTAACATGTTGCCCTCTCTCCAGGCTCTTTAACATGCTGCTCCCTCTCTCTCCAGGCCCCCTAACATGTTGCCTCTCTCCAGGCTCCTAACATGTTGCTCCCTCTCTCCAGGCTCCCTAACATGTTGCCTCTCTCTCCAGGCTCCTCAACATGTTGCTCTCTCCCAGGCCCCTTTTAACATGTTGCTCTTCCAGGCTCCTAACATGTTGCCTCTCTCCAGGCTCCCTCAATATGTTGCCCTCTCTCCAGGCTCCTAACATGTTGCCTCTCTCTAGGCCTCCTCAATATGTTATGCTCTCTCTCCAGGCTCCCCAACATGTTGCCTCTCTCTCTGTGTGCCCTTTAACATGTTGCTCTCTCTCCAGGTTTCTAACATGTTGCCTCTCTCTCTATAGGCTCTAACACATGTTGCCCTTCAGGTTTCTAACATGTTGCCTCTCTCCAGGCTCTTAACATGTTGCCTCTCCAGGCCTCTAACATGTTGCCTCTCCCCCCCCGGCCTCTTACCATGTTGCAGCGTTCTCTTCCAGGGACCTGCGGGAGACAGACAGACGGTTAGTAAATAGCGGCCCATCTCCCGCCCATACCGTGCGCACTCAGAGCAGAGCCCCCCCAGCTGTCCCCCAGTGAGGGATTAGAGCGGGGCCGAGCTGGGATTACCGAGGATGGCGGCGGATTGCGAAGCGCGGATACTCACCCGAACACCGCTGGCTCTCAGATCGGAAAGGATCGTCACTTCCGGATTCAGAGACTTAAAGCCCAGACGGCATCCGGCGAGGGTCAAACGGCGAAACGAGAGACAGCAGAGAGGAAACAGCGCACCCTGGCGGCTACCGCTGGAACTGCAACAGGGAACTTGGGGAGGGGGTGAATGAGGGGGGTATGGTGTGATGGGGATAATGAATGGGGGTAAGGTGAGGGGGGATAATAATGGGGTGTGGTGATGGGGGATAATGAATGAGTGGGTGTGTGAGTGAGTGGGGGATAGAGATGGCCAGTGAGGGGGGGCTTACTTGCTACAAAGACTGTATGTTTTAAAAAATAGTTATTTAATTTTATTTTTTTTAGTCTTTTTTATCAATTGATTAAGTGACTCCAGCCCCAGTACTCTCTATTCTGGGGAGCAGAAGGGGATTTGGCATTCTGCACAAACTTGGAGCCAGTCATAAAGCGCTACGGAATCTGTTGGCGCTATGTAAATGGCGATAATAATGGGCTCCAATTAAAGGTGAGCTCTGTCAGTATTTTAGGTCCATTTTTCTCATCACAATATGCACCAAGTTGTTCTATTGTCCTCTGTTTATTTTTATGTACTTCACTGGAGAGATTTTACTCAACCACCTGAAGAGGTCCTGTTGGCGCCAAAATGGCTCCGAAGACTTTAAGTTTAGAGCCATACGGTCTTAAAGCATTGTGAGCATATAACCTTTAATTGTAATCGAATACACGGGTGGATTCAGACAATATTGCACTATTTTGTTTTTTTCTGTTTATTTATATGTGGTTAAAGAAATTAAGCTTCCCCATCGTTATATTTAGAGGTTCACGTTTCTGTATTTTATTTCGTTTTATTGTCATTGTGGGGTTTAAGGAGCACTCACAAAGTACCACAGCTGCTATATTAATATAGATATTTACTTCTTGATTTATTTTGCACAAGAAGCGCCACTTTAATTCGCACATCTCACTTTGCCTCTGTTAGCAGAGCTGGGGAGTTTTTCCACATTAGCTATTTATGCTGAACTTTTCCAAATTATTTTCAATGATCAGTTTTGTGTCCATCTTCTAAGCGATAAAACAACAGGAGAAGCAGCAAGCTACAAACCAAGTCTAGAAAAGGTTAAATAAAAAGTAACATTTATTGCTATAAGCAGGTATTAAACAAAATATTTAATAAAATAAAGTAACAGTGGAATGAAAAAGTAGGTGTAGCGGAACGCCAATATTAAATCCACGAATTCCGCTGGTCCAGAAACGAATCCACAGTCAAACGCTGAAACACCAAGGCAATATCCCCAACCTCCCAATAACCGGACGAGACACAGTTTTGGGAGTCAACTGACAACCTTTTAATCAGCAGGACAATTTATACAAGTCCCCATGCAAGGGGTTTCCTGAGTCCCTCCCCAGGGGCACTCCCAGAGGGGACTACATGGGGGACTTACAGTATAACATATTTCTCCCAGCAGGCACCGCTGCACGAGAGGGATCATCCTCCCAGAATGCACCGTTAAGGGGATTATCCCCTCGTGCAGCAGAACCGGCAATCCATATAAAAATACATAACTTTTAAAATACACAGTGGATTTACACGAATGGACGTTCGGTAGATAGCTGGGGTCTGGGCGCATCATTCGTGAGATTGCCGCTCAGATCCCAGCTAAAATAACCGAACGCCGCACAGAAAACACATTTCTTTCAAAACACACGAAAAGAACCGATTGCTTTTAGTGAACCTGGTCCTGAAACTCCCGAACGTCCTGGAGGCTCAGCGGTGTTCGTGCCGTCGAATAACTGTTGGTAATGCTATGCGTTCGACGACACGGACCCGCTGAAGAACAAGGGATCCAAGATGGCCGACCGCCGCATGGTCGGTAGTCGAACGACGGCCACCCAGGAGAGCCTCTAATAACCGATTGCAACAATGTTGCAATCGGTTAACTAGCGCCACACGCCTCTAAGTGTGTGGGCTATTAGGGGGTATCGCGTTCGGTTCACGAACGGCTTTCTAAAGTGCCGTTCGTGAAACGAAAGAGAATCCCCATACAAAACCGCCATTTGCATTCGGCGGTAACAGCATTGCAGGCAATACGGAAAATACATTAACATCTATATGAGTGTAAAGCGCATATCTCGCCCGACCTATTGGCAACCCTTAAAGGCACAGTCTCTAGTTATTGTCCAAGTGGCTAGGTTTGCCACAATGCTCCCCCAGAACCAAGCCGGCATACACAGTCTGATCCCAACGGATCGGCTTGGGGATGTCCGGAGGAGTGCTCACAGATCATTTCTCAAGGTCTGTTTGTCTGGACAACCCGTCGGCATTACCGTTTTGTTTCCCTGGGCGGTAGTGTATTGTAAAGTCAAAGGGCTGCAGCGCCAAACTCCAGCGCAGCAGCCTGGCATTGTCTCCAGCCACACGGTTTAGCCACACCAACGGGTTGTGATCTGTGAGCAAAGAAAAGGGTTGCCCATAGAGATACGGCTGTAACTTTTTCAGGGCCCACACCACGGCCAGGCATTCCTTCTCTATGGCGGCGTAGCTCACTTCTCGGGGTAACAGTTTCCGACTCAAGTAGGCTACGGGGTGTTCTCCACCATCGGCTCCGACCTGGCTCAGTACTGCTCCCAATCCAAACATTGAGGCGTCTGTGTGAACAAGAAAACGTTTAGTTGGATCAGGAGCAGCCAGTACAGGGGCATTGGTCAGAGCCGTTTTCAGCTGGTTGAATGCCTGTTCACACTCTGGGGCCCAGACGACCTGCCGGGGCAGGTTTTTCTTTGTCAAATCCGTCAGGGGTTTGGCCAGGGCACTGTAGTTGGGTACAAATTTTCTGTAGTACCCTGCGGTACCTAGGAAAGCCAGGACTTGGGTTTTGGTCCTAGGGGTAGGCCACTGTGCTACAGCTTCAATCTTTGCGGGCTCAGGCTTCTGCTGCCCGCTACCAACCCGGTGTCCTAAGTACTGGACCTCTGCCATCCCTATGTGGCATTTGCTGGGTTTCAAGGTAAGCCCTGCCTCTCGGATCCGATCTATTACTGCCCCTATGTGTTGTAGGTGTTCTGACCAGGTCTGACTGTAGATGGCAATATCGTCCAGATATGCACACGCATAGTCCTGGAACCCGTCCAGTAGCCGATCCACCATCCGCTGGAATGTCGCGGGGGCGTTCTTCATCCCGAATGGCATGACTCGAAATTGGTACAAGCCAAACGGGGTGACAAACGCCGACTTAGGAATGGCGTCCTCGGCTAGTGGAATTTGCCAGTATCCCTTACACAAATCTATGGTAGTGAGATACTGACCCCTGGCCATCCTATCAAGCAGTTCGTCTATCCGAGGCATCGGGTAGGCGTCCGACACAGTTTTGTCGTTCAACCTCCGGTAGTCTACACAGAACCGGGTGGTACCATCTTTCTTGGGAACCAGGACTACCGGCGATGCCCAGGGGCTATCTGAGTGTTCAATAACCCCTAACTGCAACATCTCTTCAATTTCCTTCCTCATATGTTCCCGCACGGATTCAGGAATCCGATAGGGGGTCTGTCGCATGGGAAGCTGTCCCGGGGTTTCTACTCGGTGGGTGGCTAGTGGAGTGTACCCAGGTAGGTTAGAAAAGGTAGCGCCCTTTGCTGCTATCAGTTCTTGTACCTGGATACGCTCTTGAGGACTTAGCCGCTCCCCCAGTTGAACCCCCTGGGAGGGTTCCTTCTGCTCCTCCTGCTCTAACAGATCTGGAAGGGGCAGGTTCTCCTGATCTTCGGAGGCGGGCGTGCAAATAGCTGCCACGTCCTCCGTCCGCTCGTGGTAGGGTTTGAGCATGTTCACATGGAGCATGCGTCTCTTCCCTACTCCGGAGCATGGGCCGATCACATAGGTGGTATCGCATCTCTGCTCTACCACCTGGTATGGGCCCTGCCAGACGGCCTGCAGTTTATCGGTGCGGACAGGTTTAAGGATTAGCACCTTCTGCCCCACTTGAAAACTACGGTCTCTGGCCCCTCTGTCATACCAACGACGCTGTCGTTGTTGGGCGGCCTGGAGGTTGGTGCGCACCGCCTGGGTCAATTCCTCCAGGCGATCCCGGAACGCCAGCACGTATGGTACAATAGGGGTCCCATCTGCACTACTCTCTCCCTCCCAATGCTCTCTAATGAGATCCAACGGCCCCCGGACCCTTCTCCCAAACAATAGTTCAAAGGGGGAGAAACCCGTAGACTCTTGGGGCACCTCCCGGTATGCAAACAACAGATGGGGAAGGAATCGTTCCCAGTCCTTATGGGTCTCTCCGAATGTCCGAAGCATCTGTTTTAGGGTACCGTTGAATCTCTCACATAATCCATTGGATTGCGGGTGGTACGCGGAGTTAATGATCGGCTTTATGCCACATATCCTCCATAACTGCTGAGTAACCTCAGCCGTGAATTGGGTCCCCCTATCTGAGACCATTTCCTGTGGGAACCCTACTCGGGAGAATATTTTCATCAAGGCTTCGGCTACGGTCTCCGCGTGGATATTAGTTAGGGCAATCGCCTCGGGGTACCGGGTGGCGTAATCCACCACGGTCAGGATATACCGTTTCCCAGAGGGGCTGGGTTTTGGTAGTGGCCCTACTATATCTACTGCTACCCGGCTGAACGGTTCCTCAATTATGGGTAGGGGACATAGTTTTGCCTTATGGCGATCCCCCCTTTTGCCTACCCTCTGGCACACATCACAGGAGGTACAATATTGCCTCACGTCTTTGGAAATCCCGGGCCAAAAGAAAGCGTGCGTTAAGCGATACCGGGTCCGGGTCATCCCTAAATGGCCGGACAGGGGAATATCATGAGCTCTTCTCAGTAGCTCCTGCCTATACTTCTGGGGCACCACTAGCTGCTTGGTTTGGAGCGTCACAGAGTTGCCTATTGCCCGTTCCGCCACCCGGTAGAGTAACTTCTTTTCCCATATGTACCGTTCCCCCTCCCGCCCCACCTGGTCCGTGTCTACCCTATCTCGGTACACCTGCAGTGTGGGGTCTGCCTGAACCTCAGCTTCAAATGTGGTCGGGGTGTCCCAAGTCATGTCGGTCAGGGGGGGGTCATGGTGTCTTACCTGAGCCTCAGAGTGTGCGGGAAATGCCGTGGTGCGAGCCTGTTGCCGGGTGGTTACCGGATGCGCCTCCTGGGCAGGAGCCTGAGGAAGAAACGCAGAAGTCATCGGGCCCAAGTCATTCCCCAAAACAACATCGGCCGGTAGTTTCTTCATTATGGCCACCTCTACCACCCCCTCCCCAGCACCCCAGTTCAAATGCACTTTGGCCGTGGGTAACCGGTACATGGCTCCCCCTGCTACCCGGACTGCCACTGATCCGCCAGTGTGGGCCGTATCTGGAATTAAATGGGGGGCCACTAAGGTCAAGGTGGCTCCCGAGTCCCGCAGCCCCTGCACTTCTTTCCCTCCCACAAATACAACTTGGCGGTGATGCTGCCGGTTGTCCGTGGCCTGCACAGACATCACCTCGTACAGAACCCCAATGGTTCTTCGGTTGGTAGACTTGCCAGCTCCGAGTGGTCAGGTTCTGTGTGGTAGAAATGGGCCGCTGCCCTTGGAGCGGAGTTTTGCCGTACCTGGTTCCACGCCTGCCTGCTCCGATTCTGGGTGCACTCCCGGGACATATGCCCCCACTGCCGGCAGGTATGGCATTGTATGTTGGCCCTGCCATTGTAGCGTGATGGCGGTGGGGGGTTTCCTGGTGGTGGCCGGAATGGAGTAGCGTTGGCGGGTGTGGAGATGGTTGGGTGGTGTGGTACAGCTGGTCTCAGGTGAGCCCTGTTGGGAAGCCCATGATGCCTTCGGGCGTCAAAATGCTGATCCGCCAACCGGGCGGCTTCGGTTAGGGTGAGGGGTTTCCTGTCCCTTACCCATTCTTGTGCCTCAGGTGACAGTCCGTTAAAAAATTGCTCCAGCAAGATGAGTTGGCGCAGTTCCTCCATTGTGGTAGCTTGGCTCGCCTGAATCCATCCTTGCGACGCTTGGTCGAGCTTATGTGCCCACTCAGCGTGGGAATCTTTCTCGGGCTTCCTCAATCCCCGAAATTTACGCCGGTACACCTCCGGGGTTATGGCATACCTCTCCAGAATTGCCCTCTTAACTTTAAAATAGTCCTTGCTATCTTCTCTGGGCACAGCGCGATACGCCTCGGCTGCTCGTCCTGCCAACTTGCCTGCCAGTAGGGGTACCCACATAGCCTGTTCTAGATCGTGTAGGTCGCACAACCGCTCAAAATCCTGCAGGTATCCGTCAATCTCGTCTTTCTCCTCGCAGAATGCTTTAAATGCCTGGTAAGGTATTTTCTGCTTCACTGGAGCGCAGAATGAATTGGCGATGGATTCCGCCCTGGATGGTGACCTCTGGTGTTGCTGTGCCATAATGTAATCCTGGACGTCCGCCATCAGTACGGTTAAGATGTCCAGGGTTACTGGCTGTGGTACGAATTCCAGCCGGGTTCTCAGTTCCCTCTGGTATGGTGTTTCCTCTCTGGCAGGTGGGGGTGGACTGCTGTGCGCTTGGTCGCCCTCCATTAGCTCTGCAATCAGTACTGCTTTCGATTTATTGCTAGCGCTTTTCCCTCTAGCCTCCAGCAGCTCCTTTAGCGTCTGTCTCTTTAACGCCGTGTAATCAGTCCCCATTCACTGATCGCTTTCGTCTGCTTGTTTCATACGAATTGCCTTTCCGTTCGGTTGTTCTTTCTATTCGAATGCGCTGTATTCGGCTGTAGAGTTGGATCCCTCGCTGCCACCAATTGTAGCGGAACGCCAATATTAAATCCACGAATTCCGCTGGTCCAGAAACGAATCCACAGTCAAGCGCTGAAAACACCAAGGCAATATCCCCAACCTCCCAATAACCGGACGAGACACAGTTTTGGGAGTCAACTGACAACCTTTTAATCAGCAGGACAATTTATACAAGTCCCCATGCAAGGGGTTTCCTGAGTCCCTCCCCAGGGGCACTCCCAGAGGGGACTACATGGGGGACTTACAGTATAACATATTTCTCCCAGCAGGCACCGCTGCACGAGAGGGATCATCCTCCCAGAATGCACCGTTAAGGGGATTATCCCCTCGTGCAGCAGAACCGGCAATCCATATAAAAATACATAACTTTTAAAATACACAGTGGATTTACACGAATGGACGTTCGGTAGATAGCTGGGGTCTGGGCGCATCATTCGTGAGATTGCCGCTCAGATCCCAGCTAAAATAACCGAACGCCGCACAGAAAACACATTTCTTTCAAAACACACGAAAAGAACCGATTGCTTTTAGTGAACCTGGTCCTGAAACTCCCGAACGTCCTGGAGGCTCAGCGGTGTTCGTGCCGTCGAATAACTGTTGGTAATGCTATGCGTTCGACGACACGGCCCCGCCGAAGACAAGGGATCCAAGATGGCCGACCGCCGCATGGTCGGTAGTCGAACGACGGCCACCCAGGAGCGCCTCTAATAACCGATTGCAACAATGTTGCAATCGGTTAACTAGCGCCACACGCCTCTAAGTGTGTGGGCTATTAGGGGGTATCGCGTTCGGTTTACGAACGGCTTTCTAAAGTGCCGTTCGTGAAACGAAAGAGAATCCCCATACAAAACCGCCATTTGCATTCGGCGGAAACAGCATTGCAGGCAATACGGAAAATACATTAACATCTATATGAGTGTAAAGCGCATATCTCGCCCGACCTATTGGCAACCCTTAAAGGCACAGTCTCTAGTTATTGTCCAAGTGGCTAGGTTTGCCACAGTAGGTAAAAGTAAAGTTAACTATTATTTACCATAAAAAAGCACAGTGATCACTAAATACGCAGCAACCAATTGGCAGAATAATAAAATCATTCATATAATATGTGTCCCGTTGTATATTAAAAAATGATTATCGGTGTTTAGAGAGCAACAGCTATAGCCTGAAAGGTTCTATGAACAATGAACAGCCGTAATGAGTAGCGAGTGTAGGTGCTGCATAGTCCAACTAAAGGCAATTAGCAGCAGAGGTATCCAGATTCCTAGTATCCTCAGCCACACCGGTAATTACAGCAAAGGACGAAAATCCAGATCCATTGATCAGTGCAAGCTGGGAGTAATTGTCACGTATTCTTTGTCTCCATGTGACAAAAACGGAGATAATTACCTTCCGAAGATAGAGGGGAGTGCCGCTCACCGGTCTTCTGCTGTCATGCCTGGCTTTTGTGGCATGTCGGTGGACGGCGGCCGCTACAGACCCCCACAATTATATAGCCCCACGTCCATCCGTGGTAAAGACAACGTCGACGTGCAGGTGACGTCACTCAAAAGACGAGCACGCACGTTTTGGGGTCAAGGGCTAGGTACAGCCAATCGGATCTGCAAGAGGGTTATTTAAAGTCTCTTATTCCCATAGCTCATTGCCCTGTCGTGGTTTCCCCTACATGGTTATCCGAGAGTGTGTACCTGATCGTGTTTTTCTGGTTTTTGACTTTGGCTTTGATTTCTGGTATCCTAGACTTTTTGTTATCCTTATCGTTGTGTCTCATTCTGTATCCCTGACCTCGGCTAGTTTTCTGACTATTCTCGGGTTTGTTAAGTCCAGCCATTCTAAGGCCCGATAAGACATTACCCTTAGTTCTCTGCGTGCTGGATTAATATAATCCTGACAGTAATAGAATAAGTGTAGATGCAGTGCTGATGAGATATAGAACATGTTAGCCCCCCGTGGAATTGTCTTTGAGTCTATGGTGTAAATAAACTCACTCTGCTCACCTCAGGTGGATCAGACGTGCACTGAGGTCAGTCAGACAGAGTCCCTCCGTAGAAAACAAAGAAGGTTCAAATAAGCCTGAAACACTCGTGGTATCTGCATCAAGACCGACACCATATTCTACTCGTCAGGTTGTCAATTAGGAGCGAAGTCCACTGATAGAAGTACCGACTTAATAGCTACAGGAATGTACAGACAATCAAAATCATACAACATTGAAGCCCACAATCACACGACGACGTGTTTTGTCCCTAGAAACAGACTTTGTCAAGACTAAGTGATGGTGGGGAACACTTTCAGTATTTACTTGCTTAAAATGGGGGACAGGTATTAGTGGGGCATTCTGCTTGTATAATTTGAGCACCTCCTTCAAGTCAATGACTTAAGATCAATAGGTTCTAAAAAAACAGAAAAGGTAACATTTAACTGAAAAAAATAAATATACCAGACCTATATACACAAAATTATAACCAAATATAAGCACATGTAATCAAAGGATCTCATAATCAAAATATCAAGTTATATCTATTCCCAATATAATGATAATAACAATGTTACAAACATCTTAAACACTAGTTATAGCCATGAAGGATGCCCAGCTAAGTAAATAATACTAACTGGTTATATGATGAATTCAAAAATGAAATTAAGTTGATTTAAATTACTTATCCCCTATCGGAGCTATCAAAATGTAGAAAAATCCATAATCTCATGAGAGAGTTGTTATATAAAGTATATAAAGTGACAGAGTTCCTCTATTGAGATACAGTGAGAGAGTTGTTATAAAAAGTATATAAAATAGAGTAAGTTCCTGTAGTGGATGTTTAAATTGTTATTTTTTAGAAAGAGTTTATTTCTCGATAGACGGTGATATAAGTTTCAGTGATATTGTATTACCGAGTACACAGACTCAGTATATGTATATCTGTTACACTCGCAAATAAAGGTTTATTTAAAGTCTGAATCTCCATTATAAAACACAAACTACAATTATTCCGATCCGAAAATGGAAAAAAAGAAACATCCCAATTAAACAGTTTTTCTAATTAGCCAAACAAACCTCGTTACTTCCAAACATCTCACGCCTACACACAGCGCACTTCTTCCTTAAAATGGGCTTCAAAGACGCCCAAATGCGTAACGGATATCTCCTTAATGAGCACCCCAGGTGATTACTGTCCATCTCCGACAGATTCTCTCAATACATGAAAGCCTAATATATTCATGTATGTACACCTATATACTGGCCGGGACGGGTAGATGATCACTCTGAATAACATACATTTACAAATGAGCCTCCCTGTGTGTGACTGCAGTGGGAATGCAATGCATTATGGAACCCGGACCGTGCAATGGTTAAATACTGTATTGATTTCATTCTATAACAGTATTGTAGCCAATGAATAAATTTAAATAATTGCTATTACAGTTAGTTTCACACAAGAATATAGTTAATAATGTGCTTCTGGGGAATGCTGAGGTTATGCTAATGTCGAATTGGAAAGAAAAAAAAAAACAACTCTTTATAATTCTACATCAATTCGCTTTCAAGTACACAAAGCGAAGGAAAAAAACTGCTATTTATAATTTGCATTCCAAAGGTCAAAATAAGCAAAACTGCAGAATAAAATATCTGCTGTGGCTAATGAATAAATATCTGTTTTTACTGTGTGGTACAAGCTCCAATCTTTATTAATGGCAGTGACTGTGTATCATATCTACGTCTCCGGACCAGAGATGTACGTGGTGCGTCAGTAGGCTTTTCTCTGGGTGAAAGTCAACAGTCAGTGTGGCAAAACAAGCCACTTAAGGATGTATTTTCATGTACCTGTTACTATACCTTTAAAGACTGTAAGAACCAACGGAATATCTGTTTAAGCATACTGTGCGAACGAGAGCATTCATATGCTGGCAGCAAGAAAGCCACCAGCATTCATACAGTAGTGTCACGAACAGGGAATTCCACCCGTTTGTGAAACAAATTAACTACCGAATGGGAGACCACACACACAGGAGGTCGTGTGGCTCCCATTAAGTGTTGCAACAATGTTTCATTCCGTAATTATAGCGATTCAGGGTGGCCGCCGTTCGGCTACCGACCACACGGCGGTCGGCCATCTTGGATCCTTTGTTAGCCCAGCGGTATTTGGTCGTCGAACGCCTGGAACTAAAATCGGCTACTTGACGGCACGAATACCGCTGGACTTTGGTAGTTTGTTCCCCTAATGTCAATCGGTACTTTGAAAGAAACTAGAAAATAATGTGTATTTCGGGCGGCGTTCGGTTGGTTATGCTGGGATCTGAGAGGCACTATCACGAACTGTGCGCTCAGACACCAGCTATCTACCGAACGTCCATTCATTTAAATAGAGTGAATAATGCAAAAGTTATACATTTTCATGTGAAATATTGGTTCTGCTGCACGGAGGGATAATCCACTTAACGGGATATTCCAGTGGGAGTATCCCTCTCGTCCAGCAGTGCATGATGGGAGAAATGTCCAGGTTGTTAAGTTCCCCATGTAGTCCCCTACTGTACCACCCCTGGAATGTCAGTAGGGAAACCCCTTGCATGGGGAATCCCATAAATACGGTGACCTGTGAATAAAAACTCAGTTGACTCCCAGCCTATGTGTCGTCTAGTTCTTGGGAAGGAGGATTTATACAACGCTACCGGGATTATTGCATGCTGTACTTATTTTGCTTTAAGGATTCTATGCTGTTCCTGTTACCCAGCGGAGATACTGTGGATTATACTACCTCTCCACTACAGTCAGTTTGATAGAGATAGGGGTATTGCTAGGATCCATATACACTGGGAAATTGAGCCCAAAAGAAATTTGGTGACGAATTCCTGCCCCACCCCTGAATTCTGTGTACTGGGGATACAGTGTGCATGTGCTGGGGATACAGTATGTGTGTGTGCTGGGGATACAGTGTGTGTGTGTGTGTGTGTGTGTGTGTATGGGGATACAGTGTGTGTATATGCTGAGGATACAGTGTGCGTGTGTGTCCTGGGGATACAGTGTGTGTGTATACTGGAGATAGAGTGTGCGTTTGTGTCCTGGGGATACAGTGTGTGTGTGTGTGTGTGTACTGGGGATGCAGTGTGCATGTTTGTCCTGGGGATACAGTGTTTGTGTGTACTGGGGATACAGTGTGTGTGTGTGTACTGGGGATAGATTGTGCGTGTGTGTCCTCGGGATACAGTGTGTGTGTGTGTACTGGGGATGCAGTGTGTGTGTGCTGGGGATACAGTGTGTGTGTGTTGGGGATACAGTGTGCATGTGTGTCCTGGGGATACAGTGTGCATGTGTCCTGGGATATAGTGTGCATGTGTGTCCTGGGGATATAGTGTTTGTGTGTGTACTGGGGATACAGTGTGTGTGTGTGTGTACTGGGGATACGTGTGTGTGTGTGTACTGGGGATGAGTGTGCGGTGTGTGTTCTGGGGATCCAGTGTGGTGTGTAGTGGGATGCAGTGTGTGTGTGCTGGGGATACAGTGTGTGTGTGTGTACTGGGGATAGAGTGTGCGTGTGTGTTCTGGGGATCCAGTGTGTGTGTGTGTGTAGTGGGGATGCAGTGTGTGTGTGCTGGGGATACAGTGTGCATGTGCTGTGGATTCAGTGTGTGTGTGTCCTGGGGATACAGTGTGTGTGTGTACTGGGGATAGAGTGTGTGTTTGTGTCCTGGGGATACAGTGTGTGTGTGTGTAGTGGGGATTGCGTGTGTGCTGGGGATACAGTGTGCATGTGCTGGGGATATAATGTGTGTGTGCTGGGGATATAGTGTGTGTGTGCTGGGGATACAGTGTGTATGTGCTGGGGATAGAGTGTGTGTGTGTACTGGGGATACAGTGTGAGTGTGTGTGTGTACTAGGGATACCATGTGTGTGTGTGTGTCCTGGGGATACAGTGTGTGTGTGTGTGTACTGGGGATGCAGTGTGTGTATGCTGGAAATGCAATGTGTATGTGTCCTGGGGATGCAGTGTGCATGAATGTCCTGGGGATGTAGTATGTGTGTCCACTGGGGATGCAGTGTATGTGTGTGTGTGTGTACTGGGGATAGAGTGTGCGTGTGTGTTCTGGGGATCCAGTGTGTGTGTGTAGTGGGGATGCAGTGTGTGTGTGCTGGGGCTGCATGCAGTGTATGTGTGTGTCCTGGGGATGCAGTGTGTGTGAGTGTCCTGGGGATACAGTGTGCATGAATGTCCTGGGGATGTAGTATGTGTGTCCACTGGGGATGCAGTGTATGTGTGTGTACTGGGGATACAGTGTGTGTGTGTACTGGGGATAGAGTGTGCGTGTGTGTTCTGGGGATCCAGTGTGTGTGTGTAGTGGGGATGCAGTGTGTGTGTGCTGGGGATACAGTGTGTGTGTGTGCTGGGGATACAGTGTGCATGTGCTGTGGATTCAGTGTGTGTGTGTCCTGGGGATATAGTATTTGTGTGTACTGGGGATACAGTGTGTGTGTGTCCTGGGGATAGAGTGTGCGTTTGTGTCCTGGGGATACAGTGTGTGTGTGTGTAGTGGGGATTGCGTGTGTGTGCTGGGGATACAGTGTGCATGTGCTGGGGATACAGTGTGTGTGTGCTGGGGATAGAGTGTGTGTGTGTACTGGGGATACAGTGTGAGTGTGTGTGTGTACTAGGGATACCATGTGTGTGTGTGTGTCCTGGGGATACAGTGTGTATGTGTGTACTGGGGATGCAGTGTGTGTATGCTGGAAATGCAATGTGTGTGTGTCCTGGGGATGCAGTGTGTGTGTGCTGGGGATGCATGCAGTGTATGTGTGTGTCCTGGGGATGCAGTGTGTGTGAGTGTCCTGGGGATACAGTGTGCGTGAATGTCCTGGGGATGTAGTATGTGTGTCCACTGGGGATGCAGTGTATGTGTGTGTCCTGGGGATGTAGTATGTGTTGTGGGGATATTTATGGGATGATAATATTAAACAGTCGAGAATTGCCCACTATTTCAATTCTCTTAGATCTTAGAGATCGTTTATCAAATAAGTGAAAAGTATTCCATAAATAAATCACAATCTGTTATAAAAATAGATTTATTTTTATTGTAACAAATAACATAACAATGATATTAGGCAGCATGCATGATAATAATCAGTGAGTATTTAGTATAACACAAGTATTCAATACAATGGAATGGCTAACATGTCCCAAAGGCTAACAGCACCAGCTGTCAAGATTTACACGATTTATGAGGTATTCCGTAGAACAGAAAGCAAACTTCACACAGCCCAGCATTAAAACCCTGGTTAACAGTTAAGTCAACTGAATAACCCTTTCAGTGCTGGCTGGATCCTCCTAGGCATATAGTATCCTATTCTCCTGTGATTTTCAATTAAAATAACATTTGTACCAACTCATAAATCATTTTCTGGAACCATCCAATAAGAATAATCTACCAGATTCTATAAGCCGAATTTTAATTTGCCTAAAAAGATAACTTATCTTATTTTAGAGCAAATCAATAAACCTGGATAAAAACAGCGGTATGCTAACACGTGATACTATCACATTAATATATAATTATTCTTAATTCCACCTGCAGAATGGAATGTTTATAACTATATATTCTTTAGTTAACTAAGATTTCTAAATATTGAAATCTGACCATGATTTATCCAGTCATATATCATGCTATTAGTAACCTTTAATTAATTTAAATTAATTAAATAAAACCAGCATAATTACCAGTTATGTAGATATTCTCATCAGATGAGTAGGTATTCCCAGAAACTTGATTGGTTGTATGGAGGTGCGTGGGTAATAGAGAAAAGTGGTGTTGGTTAGAAAGTATCAGTAAAATTCTAAGTAATTTAAGAGTAGAGTGTTAGTTTCAGAGATGTTTCTTGAGCCTCTCTCTCTGCATGTCTGACTTGGAATCCCCAAACTTCAACTCCCTCTATCTCTCTGTCTTCCTAACTTTTCCCTTTGTCCTTACTTTTAAAGGGCCAGACTCTTTGTACGTCATTAGTTGATAAACCAATAGGAAGCCGTAGGTGTGTCCAATCTAGGGATCGCAATTTAGGTATTTGATCCATAGAGGGCAGTCTCGTCTAACGAAACCTTCCTATCCAGGAAAGAGTTAACTTTTCCTGATGACGATTTTGACGTCATTTGGCTTATCTAAAATGACTACCATAACTTAGATTTGCTGTCAATTCAGTTTGACTCAGTCTTTGTGGCAACTACTTTGATCGTAACTTGTAAAATTGACAGTTCTAAACTCAATTTCACCCCTTACTTACAATGGAAGCTTGTAAAATTTAGAAAGTAAAATTAATTATTTAGTCTTCTCTGTCGCTAGTGTCTGTGTTTAGATAATGCATCCCTCAGCTCAAACAAGTGGCTAGTTACAGAAAGTAAGGAGAAATCAATGAAATTATGTGTTTTTGTTATCCTGAAGATAGCAAAATGGAGTCTGCTCTGTCTGAGTGACTTTGGCAATATACACTTTTAATTTCTTTTTAGCACAAAATGTCTGTTGATATAAATATTCTGACAGTGTGTAAGCTGGGTTTGCACTGTGTATGTGCTAGGGATGTATTATTGGATAGGGGCTGAAGTGTGTGGGAGGGTGAGATGGGGCTTAAGGGGACACTATAGGCACTATAGCTATTTAATCTCTTTGAAGTGGCTGGAGTTTTCGGACGCTGTCCCTCCATTCAGCGCTAAACCATTTTCGAGCCATTTACCACAAGATGAGGGTTCTTTGCCACCCACAGAGATTGCACACTTCCTTGTAGTCATACCGATTCATACTGGCAATGGGAGCTATGATTGTCTAAAAGCGATCGGCCTCTCCAGCCCCCTCTATTGATGCTCCTGATAGAATCTCTACGCTGTGTTGGTGGAATCACCAGCAGGTGTTTAGAATAAAATGGTGCTTACCTGCAGTGTTAGAATTATTGACTGTAACGGCACCCCCAGGCATAAAAAGGGGTTAAAAGCCGTTTAGTAGATCTTCCCTTCCAGAGACACAGACACAGCTACTGTAGACACCAATACACCGAACCGGAGAAGCATATGAATGCTCTCAAACATACGAATGCTGTAAACAGCCGAATAGGAAAAACCATACAAATAGGTTTACACTCCTAGGAGTCAAACTGGAACAGCATACAATAAATCCCCCTAAGAACGAGACAAGGCTCTGTTTTGAGGGTCAAGCAGGAACAGACAGAGCTGTGGGTTTATTGTTCTTATATACACATTCTTACACATTAGTACCACCCACAGGGTTTTGGAAAACAACCAATAAAACATGTACAATACAGTCAGACACTCCCACACAAAATCCTCCCCTCTGCCTGTGAAACAATTACCTTACACAATGGGTAATGTAATTATCACAGACAGAGAAATACAGTTTTTCCACATTATTCATAACTTTAAAAGTATGCATCACATTCACATAAAACTTACATTTTCAGAATCAGCATACTCCAAATACAAACATATGTCAAAATCCAAATTGGTTCATTGGTTCAAAAGATAGATCGTAGTCCTTTGTAACCAAATGAAGCATGGCTTTTCTGCCCAAAACCAGTTCCACAGAGTCTTCTATCCTGGAGATAATTGAAAAGTAATCCAATTATCTCCAACGACAGAGGCAAAACTACATTAGCCACATGGTGGCAAAATACAGTAAAATACAATAATGTACACAAGGTTACATTTATTACATAAAATACAGACATGCAACATATCCCCAGATATCTTAGGTCTGAGCGCACATTATTACTGAATGGCACTCAGACCACACACGTACAGTTTAATTGCCATGGAGCCAAAGTCTTTTATTACACAAATAGGCTACATGGCATAGCTATCTGGGTTAAATGAGTTCATTCAGTAAATCCGAGAATCTTTCTGCATAGGAAAATAAAGTATTTGAATGCCGGTCCATAGTCAAAAGGCAGCAGGCAGGAAACCAGGCTCCTCCAATGCACATTGGCGAGATTGGTCTCGTCACATTGACTATGATAGACTTGCCTTTGAGGGCGAATATTTGGGACACTACTTCTTCCTTATGTTATATCCACCTCCAGCTCAAACAAGCAAGGTCCATAATGCCCATCCCCGCCAGCACTGTCCATAATGTGGTGTACCCCTTCCCGCCAGTACTGTCCATATTCCCAGCAAACTGTATCACCAGAGATCAGCATGCCCTCCCTCCATGCAAGGTAATGACAGGGAAGAGGTGATAAATATTTGTTAATTGTTAAATTTTCATTTAATAAATCCCCTATACACATGGATGGCAGGCTGTTAAGATTTTTCGCACAGGGCGCCTGGAGGCCTAAGGCCGGCCCTGGGTGTACCCCCCTCCCACCAGCACTGTCCATAATGTGGTGTAAACCCCTCCTCACCTACACTGTCCATATTGAGGTGTACCCCCCTCCCGCCAGCACTGTCCATAATGCGGTGTACCTCCTCCCCACCAACACTGTCTATAATGCGGTATACCCCTATCCCCACCAGCACTGTCCATAATGCAGTGCACCCCCCTCCCTGCCAGCACTGTCCATAATGCGGTGCACCCCCCTCCAGCCAGCACTGTCCATAATATGGTGTACCTCCTTCCCGCCAGTACTGTCCATAATGCAGTGTACCCCTATCCCCCACTAGCACTGTCCATAATGCAGTGTACCCCCTGCCAGCACTGTCTATAATGTAGTGTACGCCCCTCCCCCGCCAGCACTGTGCATAGTGCAGTATACCCCTATCCCCCACCAACACTGTCCATAATGTGGTGCCCCCCCCTCCCCCCCCCCCACCGTCCATAATGCGGTGTACCCCCATCCCCACCAACACTGTCCATAATGCGGTGTACCCCCCTCCCACCAGCACTGTCCATAATGTGGTGTAAACCCCTCCTCACCTACACTGTCCATATTGAGGTGTTCCCCCCTCCCGCCAGCACTGTCCATAATGCGGTGTACCTCCTCCCCACCAACACTGTCTATAATGCGGTATACCCCTATCCCCACCAGCACTGTCCATAATGCAGTGCACCCCCCTGCCAGCACTGTCCATACGCGTGCACCCTCCAGCCAGCACTGTCTCATATAATGCGTATACCTCTCCCAGCACTGTCCATAATGCTGTACCCCCACGCCAAAGCACTGGCCAGTCTCATAATATGGTGTACCTCCTTCCCGCCAGTACTGTCCATAATGCAATGTACCCCTATCCCCCACTAGCACTGTCCATAATGCAGTGTACCCCCTGCCAGCACTGTCTATAATGTAGTGTATGCCCCACCCCCGCCAGCACTGTGCATAATGCAGTATACTCCTATCCCCCACCAACACTGTCCATAACGTGGTGCCCCCTCCTCCCCCACCAGCACTGTCCATAATGTTGTGTACCCTCCTCCCCCACCAGCACTGTCCATAATGTGGTGTACCCTCCTCCCCAACCAGCACAGTCCATAATGTGGTGTACCCTCCGCCAGTACTGTCCATAATGCTTGTACCCCTATCCCCACCAGCACTGTCCATAATGTGGTGTACCCCTATCCCCACCTACACTGTCCATATTGAGGTGTACCCCCCTCCCGCCAGCACTGTCCATAATGCGGTGTACCTCCTCCCCACCAACACTGTCTATAATGCGGTATACCCCTATCCCCACCAGCACTGTCCATAATGCAGTGCACCCCCCTCCCTGCCAGCACTGTCCATAATGCGGTGCACCCCCCTCCAGCCAGCACTGTCCATAATATGGTGTACCTCCTTCCCGCCAGTACTGTCCATAATGTGGTGTACCCTCCGCCAGTCCTGTCCATAATGCTTGTACCCCTATCCCCACCAGCACTGTCCATAATGTGGTGTACCCCTATCCCCACCAGCACTGTCCATAATGCAGTGTACCCTCCCATCCTCACCAGCACTGTCCATAATGTGGTGTACCCCTATCCCCACCAGCACTGTCCATAATGGGGTGTACCCTCCCATCCCCACCAGCACTGTCCATAATGCGGTGTACCCCCATCCCCACCAGCACTGTCCATAATGCGGGATTACCCCCTCCCGCAGCACTGTCCATAATGCTGTTTACCCCCCTCTACGCCAGCACTGTCCATAATATGGTGTACCTCCTTCCTGCCAGTACTGTCCATAATGCAGTGTACCCCTATCCCCCACTAGCACTGTCCATAATGCAGTGTACCCCCTGCCAGCACTGTCTATAATGTAGTGTACCTCCTCCCCCACCAGCACTGTCCATAATGCGGTGTACCCCCCGCCAGCACTGTCCATAATGCGGTGTACGCCCCTCCCCCGCCAGCACTGTCCATAATGCAGTATACCCCTATCCCCCACCAACACTGTCCATAATGTGGTGTACCCTCCCATCCCCACCAGCACTGTCCATAATGTGGTGTACCCTCCCATCCCCACCAGCACTGTCCATAATGCGGTGTACCCCCATCTCCACCAGCACTGTCCATAATGCGGTGTACCCCCATCTCCACCAGCACTGTCCATAATGCGGTGTACCCCCATCCCCACCAGCACTGTCCATAATGCGGTGTACCCCCATCTCCACCAGCACTGTCCATAATGCGGTGTACCTCCATCCCCACCAACACTGTCCATAATGCGGTGTACCCCCATCTCCACCAGCACTGTCCATAATGTGTGTACCCCTATCCCCACCAGCACTGTCCATAATGTGGTGCCCCCTCCTCCCCCACCAGCACTGTCCATAATGTGGTGTACCCTCCCATCCCCACCAGCACTGTCCATAATGTGGTGTACCCTCCCATCCCCACCAGCACTGTCCATAATGCGGTGTACCCCCATCTCCACCAGCACTGTCCATAATGCGGTGTACCCCCATCTCCACCAGCACTGTCCATGATGCGGTGTACCCCCATCCCCACCAACACTGTCCATAATGCGGTGTACCCCCATCCCCACCAACACTGTCCATAATGCGGTGTACCCCCATCCCCACCAACACTGTCCATAATGTGTGTACCCCTATCCCCACCAACACTGTCCATAATGCGGTGTACCCCCATCTCCACCAGCACTGTCCATAATGCGGTGCCCCCTCCTCCCCCACCAGCACTGTCCATAATGCGGTGTACCCCCATCCCCACCAGCACTGTCCATATCTTTCTACCTTACTATGGGCAGCTGTTACAGTCAGCACATTTCTGTTCTGGCTGGCTGGCGCTATCTTTATAGTCAAGTCCAGACAAATGTCTGCGCAGAATAAATCCACGGTGGGGGGGGGGGAGGGGTATTGCGGCCCATAGCTTTAAATCAACGAACATCAGGCTTTTACAGAAACAAGAAGCTGGATCCTGTCTAAAACTTTGTTTGTCAAAACGTAAAAGGTGAATCTTTATTTAGTTCTGTTTTATACGTTTGTTCTCACTAGAACGTGTGATGCTGGGTGAGAAAGCTCCTTTCTGCTATAACACACGCGCTGTCTGTTTGTTCTCTCAGTATCGCTGTGCAGCCTCTTTTATATATTTCTCATATTCTTTGTTCTGGCAGTTTGATTTCTATTCGCATTCTTTATATGACAAAATACGTCTCTATAAATTACTGTCACCATACGTCGGAGCCGTACCCTGCCATGTGATGGTGTCGCTGTATAAATATCTGTCGTATTGAGATTCCTGCACTACTTTCAGTTTGCTTTGTCTACAAGGATAATCTTTATATCATGGAATTTCTACCAGTTTCAGATAGCTATCTTTCTCATGGTTTTTTGGGTAGTCTTTATCTGAAATGGACATTTCAGTGAAAATGCAGGCAGAGAAAAGCTGACACTTTTCAGACTGTTTTTGAAAGAATTTAATAATTTTGAACATATTAAAGACCAAAAATAAAATACATTATTTTAAATCACTTTGATAAATCTCCCCCATTGAATCTCCTCTATTCAGCCCTCTGTGAAGGACGCATTGAAGTAACTGTCACAGCTTGGTGGTTGTCCTTGCAGTCCTGAATGGGGACTTTGAGAGGATGTGACCTCAAATTATTTCCTCCCGGAGTGTTAATCCGGGTTCTATCAGAAGACGCTATACCTACACCCCAGGACATAGAGGCGATTGGTTACAAACAATGGGATTTACCATATTTACTAAATACCAAATTGCAGTGAATTAAAAACAAAATCAGAAAATTTGAGTAAAACGTGCTGATTTAGAAATATTCTCACCTCTAATCACATCCTGAATCTTTTAGATTAATTAACGCATTGGTCGTAGATAAACCCCAATATGTGAGAAGAATATTTGTGTTCGGGCTGAGTCTGGGTGTGTTTTGGGCTAGAATTGATCCACCACCTGCTGTCATGCTCCTGAACAGGTCAGATAGGAGACAATTGCAAAGGTTATTGGTTAAAACTTTGTCGTATTAGACATAACAAATTTACTGAAAATAAAGAATAAAGGGCAGTTTGCCAGAAACAGGATTCTTTGTGAGAAAAACAGGGTTTAGGCGATATGCCACAAACAAGATATTTAAAAAGTAAATGAATAAAGTCTTTTGTATACAAGCAGGCTTGAAGTGATACCAAGTAGTTAGGGATTTCCAGGATACTTTGCAATGCAGCTAGTTATAGGTAAATACCTTTTAGGATAAGACAATACAGGATCATGCAGAGTTGCAGAGGTTGAAACAGGTCGGTATATTCCAAAATAATATAATGCAGGTTTCTTACAAGATCATGCAGTGATGCAGCAATTGAAGCAGTTAAGATTCCTTAATGGGGGGGGCGGGACTTCCGGTCCAACCGAACGGTCGCATGCAGTGAGTGCTCCGTGACCGGACCGGCCTAAAACGCGGCATAAACAGCGGCAAACAGCCCACACCACCTCACAAACGGCATCAGAGGTAAGGGGAACACCCCCCCCACCCCAGCATGGCCCCTCCAAAAGCCCAGCGTTCATCCGATTTTTTCCGGCAAGGAAAAAAAGAACGGCTCTGTTCCGACCAAGATGGCGGCGGCTCCCGCTCACCAACACACACGTCTGAAACAGGCTCTGATAATGAATCACGGCAAACCCCCACAGGGGATCTCTCTATCTCAGAGGTGAAACTAGCAGCTATGCTCCATGACCTGCGCACGTCTATGAAAACCGACTTTCAAGCAGTGGTCTCAGATCTGCGCAATGACCTCCTGGAAGTGGGGACACGGGTGAATGTACTGGAGGAAAAAACTGATGAGCTGTGCCAAGCCAACGATGCAATAGTGAGCAAACTGCAGCAACTGGAAAAAGACAACAGGCGTCTGACGGAAAAAATGGCAGACTTAGAAGACCGCTCCCGCCGCAACAACATCCGCGTGCGAGGAGTACCGGAGAAGGTGACACAGGAGGATCTACCGTCCTACCTACTGCGCCTCTTTCAGGCTATCCAACCAGCCCTGGCACTAGCGGACTTACGCCTTGACCGAGCACACCGGGTACCAAAACCCACCAATCTTGCTCGAGATGTCCCTAGGGACGTAGTGACCAGATTACACTATTACAGCGCGAAGGAAGCAATCCTCACAGCGCAGAGAAAGGCATCAGAAATGCCACCTACATTTGAGGAGATATCACTATATGCTGACCTATCACCGACGACGATGTCCAGAAGACGGGACTTTATCAATGTCACAAAGTGCCTCAGAAACCACAAAGTGCCTTACAGATGGGGTTTCCCCACTAAGCTCCTGATATGGCGCAATGGATCACTGACCAAAGTTGAAGACCCGATCCAAGGAATGGAGACCCTCAAATCCTGGGGATTATTTCCCACTGACAACGCTCCCACGACCCCGGCCCCACTGCGGAAAGTGGCCACAAGCTGGACAAAGGCCTGAGCAATGTCGCCACCACGGCTCCTCCTAACATGTGCCGCTGCCGACTTATTCTCCAAACCCTGGGGCACCCTTCAGGCCTACACCCGTGCTATGAACTGTGGCAACACCAAGGTTTTACATCTGCACGTGAGTACAGCTGCACCCTGGCCCTACCACGCTCAGCCACCTTACCACCAGCACCTCCCGCCACCCCATACCCCGGGCTGGCCGCCCCCCTCCCGGGAACCGGGAATGCTACCCAAGGGAGAGACTTATCTGGACTTACACCTCCAGGGGGGCGAAGGACTCTTCCACCCCCGCCTCACATCTTCCTAGGCCCTAGAAGGCTATGATGAGACTCATGAACTGGCCTAGGCCCACACCCTTGCTACCTGCAACCTTCGCTGACCCCCCCCCCTGTGGGCCCCGGGGAATGTTTGCCCCACTCCAGCTACTCAGACATACCGGGTGATTGGACTGTGACAGGCGTTTAGGCCTCACCGAACGCTGAAGAACCCCCTCCCTCCCCCCCCCCGAAGTTCTCTTGGGACACCACTCGCCGCTGCAGCCCCCTCTCAGAACAATAGAGGGTACGCGCTCGGCGGAGGCGTCCTCCCCATAATGCTTCTTAGCTATTTGCTCTGTATATACTTTGTTTATGTTGTATATTTTTGTTCCCACCGTTATCAGCTCTGTTATTTCCCATGCCCCGGCCCTACCTTTGAGATGCTCCCTTTCTACCATGGGCTAAGAGACGAAGTATCTGCCCAGGACATCCCTAAGCCTTACTGCGTTAAACCCACGAGACAACCTCAATCACCCAGATGTGCCCACGAGGCGCCCAACCCCCAATGCAATGAGCCCCCCTAGCAAGTTTCTCTTGGTGTCCCTGAATGCCCATGGCCTAAATACCCCACAAAAACGCAGACTGGCCCTATCTCAACTGAAAGCCCTGAAGGCCTCGGTCGCATGCATACAAGAAACCCACTTTTCAGCCACGAACCCCCCAAAGTTTTCGGCCTCCTCATATCCACTAGCGCACCACGCCCTAGCGCCTAACAAGACAAGAGGGGTCAGCACACTATTCCACTCAGATTGGAGCTTCCAATGTGAAAGGGAATACAAAAGCCCTGACGGTAGGCTCCTGATCCTGGTGGGCCTCCTCAATGACGCACAGGTGACTATAGCAAACCTTTACGCCCCCAACGTCAACCAGTACGACTTCCTACGAAAGGCACTGAGAAAGGTTGACAAACTAAAGAAGGGACAGACGATGATATGCGGGGACTTTAACTGTGTGTTAGACCCTGACCTAGACAGATCAGGGACACCGGGCTCCCACCCAAGAGACAAGCTCCTAGGGGACAAACTGACGACGCTTCTTCATCTCCATAACCTGCATGACACCTGGCGGGCACTCTACCCAGCCTCTAGGGACTACACCTTTTACTCCAAGGTCCATGACCAATATTCCCGCATCGACATGTGTTGGGTCGACACTAAAACCCTGGATACCCTAGCGGAGGTCGCTATTGCCCCGATAACCTGGTCAGACCATGCCCCCCTCACATCATCATTTACCACACTACACCCAGTCCGAGGACGGGGGCAATGGAGGCTCAACGAGTCCCTCATAGACAACCCTGAGAGGGCCTCTGGGATCCAGAAATCGCTAACACATTACTTCGAAGTCAATCACTACACTCACACGAGCGTCACCACGACATGGCCGGCCCACAAGGCAGTCACCCGTGGAGCACTCATACAGATGGGGGAAAAACTGAAGCGCCAACTATCTGAAAAAAGTGACTCCCTACTGAAGGAATTACAGTTAGCCGAATCACGACACAAAGCCTCACCCACTGAACCCCCATAGACTCGAAGTCCAAAACATTAGATCCACATTAGAAACACTACAAATGCAACGGGTAGAGAGAGCCATTAGGAAGATGAAAACAACTTACTATAGGCAGGGGAACAGGGCGGGTAAACTGCTGGCCTCTCAGCTCAAGGCGAGAATCTCCCAGGTAAAAATCCCCTATATCAAAGATGAACACGGAACCAAAATCATGAACCCCAAAGCGATTGTAGACGAATTTGCTACTTTTTACGCAAAATTATACAATCTCTCCGGGGATTCCACCCAGCACCAGCCCACCCCTCAGAACATCGCCACCTTCCTGGAGGGTATACATCTCCCCCAGCTCTCCACCGCGCAGGCCGCAACGCTGACTACCCAGATCCTACCAGCCGAGATCACCAGGGCACTACGAGACACCCCGAGACATAAAGCCCCAGGACCGGACGGCTACTCCGTACACTATTATAAGGTGTTTGAGGACCAACTACTCCCCCACCTCACGGCATTATTTAACCACATTCTAGACACGGGTAACATACCCCCAGAGGTGTTGGAAGCCACAATTGTCACAATTCCCAAACCAGGCAAACCCACAGACCTGTGTGCAAACTACCGCCCGATCTCGCTCCTCAATGCCGACACCAAACTGTTCGCCAAGGTCCTAGCAAACCGTATCCGACCCCTCCTAAGCCAACTCGTCTCACCTGAGCAGTCGGGCTTTGTCCCGGGCCGCCAGGTTGAGGACAACACCAGACGTGCCCTGGACATAATGGAACTCATGGACTCTGACCGGTTACAAGGCCTTATAGTTGCCCTAGATGCGGAGAAAGCCTTCGACAGGCTCCACTGGGGCTATATGTCGGAGGTCCTGCGCAGGTTTAACTTTCCGCCCCAATTCCTGACTGGACTCTTATCCCTGTACACTTCCCCTCGGGCGACTGTCATGAGCTCTGGCTTCGTCTCTAGACGCTTTGATCTGACGAACGGCACACGGCAGGGCTGCCCACTCTCGCCCCTCATATTCATTCTCGCAATGGAACCCCAACTCCACAAAATCAAGGCAAACTCTAACATCACGGGGGTCCCGTCACCAACGGGACAACATAAATTAGCAGTGTTTGCGGATGACATCCTCCTCTTTCTCACCAGGCCCTCAGACTCACTCCCCACTCTACTGCACCTTTTGCACGACTACGGCCGTGTATCTTACTATAAAAACAACATACAAAAACACAGGTGCTACCCATGAACCTGCCCAGATCCCAACTTGAATCTCTAAAAGCACTCCACCCCTTCGAATGGAGGAAGGATACCCTCTCTTATTTAGGCACACAGCTGACACCCTCAAAAACCAAACTCATAAGACATAACCATAGGAAACTGATGGGAGACATAGAACGACGGCTGGATAGCTGGGGCACCAAAAACACATCTTGGTTAGGACGAATTAATGCCATCAAAATGGTCATCCTCCCACAAATACTATTTCTTTTTAGAGCCCTACCGATTACCCTCCCCAAGTACACCCTCCGGGCATTCCAAAGCCTCATTAATGCGCACATATGGAAACGGAAACCACCAAGGGTATCTCTGGCGAACATTAGTATGGTCATGGGAGGAGGTGGGGTGGGTGTGCCCCACATAACCAAATACTATCTAGCGACACACCTGGCCCAGATGGCACGCCTTCTGGCTCCCTCAGACTACCCAATGTGGTTCCACCTAGTGAGTGCAATCAGCGCACCTCTATCCCTCGGCGACCTACTGTGGACCACGACAAAGGCCCAACCCCATTATCCCAAGCTACTCTCGACATCGAGGGGATCACTCCAGGTGTGGCTCAGATGGGCCCCAAAAATGACCGGTGGGAACATAGAAGCCCTTGCCCCGCTGACTACTCTCCAGCACCACACTCACGACCTCCCCTTGCAGGGATGGACAGGACAAGGAGTGACCAGAATATCACATCTCCTGGGAATAGATGGTCTACTACCATTCCCCGACCTCCAGAAAAAATACCTCATACCTAACAAGGAGATCTTCACATACATTCGTATTAAACACATAATAGGAGACGTCAAAAAACTAACCATGCTCACACAACCCCACAACTGTTTTGACACGATGTGCCTGGGCCAAAAAAAACCCCAAAAAGCCATTGTCCCTATGTTACCATCGCCTATTAGACTTAGACAGGCCAACAAAACAATCCTACATGTTACAATGGGAAAGGGAGCTGAACAGTACCTTTGAGCCGCACAGATGGGTGAGGGCCATGCCATTAGTAAAAAAAGCCACACACTGCCTAGACCACGTAGAAGCGGCCTACAAGTTATGGCTTCGATGGTACTATACGCCTCAACGGCTGGCCGAAATATACCCGGGCTCCCGGGCAACGTGCTGGCGCTGCAACCAACAAGAAGGCACCCTAAGCCATATATTCTGGTACTGCCCTGCACTCAGCCAATACTGGCAACAAATCCAAGATCTGATAAAACTCAGAGTAGGGATAGACCTACCACCTGCCCCTGAACATTACCTGCTCCATATGATGCCACCCGAAATAACAGCCCACGAGGCCTCACTGATCACCCACATCACGCTTGCTGCAAAGCAACGGATAGCTGCCCTATGGAAATCCACCTTGGCACCAGACATACAGTCGGTGATTGCCAAAGTGAATCTCACCCAACAGTATGAGGAAATGTCGCACACGATTAGCGGTACCCTATTGAAACATAATAGCACTTGGTCCAAATGGTAGATGGTTGTGACAACGTGGTGACGAACACCTCCCTCTAATACATTTGTATAGGGGAGCATCCCGTAAACCCCCCCTTTTTTCCTAGTTCACGCTCTCTCCCACCTACTTCCATCCCCCCTCCCCCCCCTTTTCTCAAGAAACCAAGGGTTATAGCCACGTTGGCAAGCCTTTCAACTCTGAGGAGACCAGTAGAGTAGTTACGGAATAACAGCCTATGGAGTTATTGTATATGTGACACCCTGAAGCATCGCTTGAATAATTATGTAACTGGAAATTAGTTACTACTCAGATCTGTTACTGTACCCGTTTCTTATGGCTCCAATGTATTAGATCCTACTGTGTAATACTATGATGTTGAACCCTCAATAAAAATGATAAATAATAAAAAAAAGATTCCTTAATGAAGGCAATACGCCACAAATCAGGATTCTTGGAAGGCGATAAGGAAAGTCTTTTGTTAAGATGTAATTCAGACAAGTTCAGGATGAAGTAATGCAGGTTAGTGCCTTTCAGTATGAGGAAATGCAGATGAGAACAGGATGAGGCACTGCAGGTAAGTTCTCTACAGAATGAAATAATGTAGATAAAATACAGGATATTACCAGAAACAGAGATTCTTTATCAGAGCACAGACTTCAATGTCAAGGCACTGTTGTGTCCTGGGAATAGACTTATCAAGCCTCCTCATTAGTTAATCCAGGTGAGGCTTTTAAGGTGAGTGAATAGATTAGTGGCTAGGGAGGCCACTAGAGGAGAAAATCATGAAGTTCACTTAAAGGGCCAGTAATAAACGAAAAAGTCTCACATGTCAGTTTTGAAACCTGACACCTGCCTAGTCATGATGTCACTGCGCCACCGGCACCAAATCCTGCCAGTTGGGGTGTGCTGTCTTTTAACTTCTGGTTTATTCATTAACTGGTTCAATGACCGTGAATATTATTATCATTATTATTGGTATTTATATAGCTCCAACTTATTCCATAGCGCTGTACAATATTATAAAGGAGGACATTTAACAATAAATAAGACAGTAACAACATTTTTACAGGAACAATAGGCCAATGAGGACCCTGCTCGAAGGAGCTTACAGTCTAGAGGAGGTGGGTATAAAACACAATACCAGCCAGAATATAAGGTGAGTCGGCACTCAGAACGCATTCAGTAAGGTGTTATAATATAACCAGATGTCCGTCGCATTGTGTTTTATGCTGTTTACGTTGTCCTTGTGGCTATCTGGTGATTACACTTACCTAATCTCACAGCTGCAGCTAATTACCCTTCCTCTGCCAATACCTGCTATGCAGAGGGTTATTCTAAAAGTAGGAATTGTCTGGTTTACAAAGTGAATTTCACATTTATTCTAAAAACACAAACTCTAAAAATTGCTGGAGAATGGTTCTATGCGGCTTTGAATTCCTGTCAATTCACTTTTTAGTAAGTTTCTGATTAGAAGATTGCTGGTACTCACGTGTTGTGATTTTGTGACATATTATTCCACAAGGGAGAGATGTTAGGTGTTGGTAAGATAAGAAGAATTATCTAGGGCTCTGAGCCTTAGAATTCGGAACGTTCTAGATATAAAAGCTCTCCTATCGGGTGTTACCGTACTTCTACAAGGGTTTTATTAACTTTCACTATTATATACAAACTACTTACAACGAAACACGCAAGTGAGGTCTCAGTAACTACAAATTGTCTGTGTCTCAAAGTAGAATTTATTCACTTTGTACAGCGCTGCGGAATTTGTTGGCGCTTTGTAAATAATAATAATAATAAAGAGAATACTGATATTAAAATCTCTTGAAAAAAAAGGCTGCAATGTATTATTTATTTATTACCAGTATTTATAAAGCGCCAACAGATTCCGCAGCGCTGTACAATTAGTGGAGAACATATATGAAATATAAACCAAAACATGATCCTACCAATACAACACAAAGGGGATGTGGCAAACCGAGCCACTTGGACAATAACTAGAGACTGTGCCTTTAAGGGTTGCCAATACGTCGGGCGAGATATGCGCTTTACACTTATGTAGATGTTAATGTATGTTCTGCTTTACCTGTACTGCTGTTTCCGCCGAATGCAAATGGCGGTTTTGTATGGGGATTTTCTTTCGTTTCACGAACGGCACTTTAGAAAGCCGTTCGTGAACCGAACGCGATACCCCCTAATAGCCCACACACTTAGAGGCGTGTGGCGCTAGTTAACCGATTGCAACATTGTTGCAATCGGTTATTAGAGGCTCTCCTGGGTGGCCGTCGTTCGACTACCGACCATGCGGCGGTCGGCCATCTTGGATCCCTTGTTCTTCAGCGGGTCCGTGTCGTCGAACGCATAGCATTACCAACAGTTATTCGACGGCACGAACACCGCTGAGCCTCCAGGACGTTCGGGAGTTTCAGGACCAGGTTCACTAAAAGCAATCGGTTCTTTTCGTGTGTTTTGAAAGAAATGTGTTTTCTGTGCGGCGTTCGGTTATTTTAGCTGGGATCTGAGCGGCAATCTCACGAATGATGCGCCCAGACCCCAGCTATCTACCGAACGTCCATTCGTGTAAATCCACCGTATATTGTAACAGTTGTAGATTTTTGTGTGAATTGCCGGTTCTGCTGCACGAGGGGATAATCCCCTTAACGGTGCATTCTGGGAGGATGATCCCTCTCGTGCAGCGGTGCCTGATGGGAGAAATATGTTGTACTGTAAGTCCCCCATGTAGTCCCCTCTGGGAGTGCCCCTGGGGAGGAACTCAGGAAACCCCTTGCATGGGGACTTGTATAAATTGTCGTGCCGATTAAAGAATTTCAGTTGACTCCCAAAACTGTGTCTCGTCCGGTTATTGGGAGGTTGGGGATATTGCCTTGGTGTTTTCAGCGCTTGACTGTGGATTCGTTTCTGGACCAGCGGAATTCGTGGATTTTATATTGGCGTTCCGCTACAGGGGAATTATTTAAGATGGAAATGTCAAACTGTAGAGAGTTCTGGCCTGGGTGACGGAGGTGATTTAAATGTTTTCTGGAAGGTGTTCTTAGAGATTTTCCTTCCTGCTGCTTCACATTACCAAGTAGTCCTCATGTCATATTGCCCAGTAGTCCTTATGTCATATTGCCAAGTAGTCCTTGTGTTATATTGCCAAGTAGTCCTCATGTCATATTGCCAAGTAGTCCTTGTGTTATATTGCCAAGTAGTCCTTATGTTATATTGACAAGTAGTCCTCATGTCATATTGCCAAGTAGTCCTTATGTTCCATTGTACAGCGCTATGGAATTTACTGGCGATATATAAATAATATAATATAATAGTCCTTATGTCATATGGCAAAACTAGCCACTTAAGACTATAGTTGTATGAATATGTGTCTATACCTTTAAATCTGTTAGAACCAAGTGTATTCATGTATCTGCATTTCAGGCGAACAAGGGCATTCGTATGCTGGTGGCATGAAAAACCCCAGCATTCATACTGTAGTTTCACGAACAGTGTATTTCAACACTGTTCGTGAAACGAATAATCTACCGAATGGGCGACCACACACAGGAGGTCGTGTGGTGCCCATTAACCGATTGCAACATTGTTGCAATCAGTAGTTAAGTGCTTTCCTAGGTGGCCGTCGTTCGGCTACCGACCACGCGGCGGTCGGCCATCTTGGATCCTTTGTTAGCCCAGCGGTATTTGGTCGTCGAGCGCCTGGAACTAAAATCGGCTACTCGGCGGCACGAATACCGCTGGACCTCCAGGCCGTTCGTGAGCCCCGGGCGTTCGGTAGTTTGTTCCCCTTATGTTAATCGGTACTTTGAATGTAACTTGAATATAATGTGTGGTTCGCGCGGCGTTCGGTTAGTTATGCTGGGATCTGAGTGGTGTTCTCACGAACTGTTTACCCAGACCCCAGCTATCTACCGAACGCCCATTTGTTTAAATAGAGTGAATAATGTGAAAGTTATAGATTTTAATGTGAAATATTGGTTCTGCTGCAGGGAGGGATAATCCACTTAACGGTATATTCCAGTGGGAGTATCCCTCTCGTCCAGCAGTGCATGATGGGAGAAATGTCCAGGTTGTTAAGTTCCCCATGTAGTCCCCTACTGTACCACCCCTGGAATGTCAGTAGGGAAACCCCTTGCATGGGGAATCCCATAAATACGGTGACCTGTGAATAAAACCTCAGTTGACTCCCAGCCTATGTGTCGTCTAGTTCTTGGGAAGGAAGGGTTCTTACAACGCTACCGGGATTATTGTATGCTGTATTTATTTCCTTGGATTATTGTATGCTATTCCTGTTACCCAGCGGAGATACTGTGGATTATACTACCTCACCGCTACAGTCCTCATGTCATATTGCCGTTTTGGGAACGCTTTATTGTGTCACAAGAAAATAATTACCACAAAACCTCCAGACAGTAGCACAATGGCTCCAATACACACCAAGGAAGAACAGACACATGGAAACAAAAGATACAATTCAGTAAATTAGCATTCTCAGGTTTCCACGAATAGTGATATTATCCTAATTTTATATACTGGCCTTTCATACTTTGTTTAATACGCATGTTACTCTTATTTCTTTTTAGGAAATAATTGGACAGTGAGGACTTTGAATAACAACTTGATTAAAAAATAAAAATAAAATTGATATTAATTTTCGTCGTGGACTATAATTAATAGAATTAGGCGCCCATCGCTGGCTAGGTTTAGAGAACACGACGAGGTGGCAAAGAGGCTCGACTATAGACTGGTTTGATGAAATGGTTAAACTTATTTTACATTTTGTATTTTTTTTTAATTAGCATTAAGCAACTGAGTGTGTAAATACACATGTTTATGTTTAATGTTATTAATTATTGTAACCTGGCCTTCCATATCTCTCAATGCAAAATTATTCAATGAGAAAACTGCCACGTGATGCCCACATACAGTAAATTAAGTATTTCCGAGGGCAGTGCTGACGAAAAATGAATCCTCCCTGAATATCCTGTTGGCTACTATTTAGCAGCATGGTAACTTTTGAGTAATGTAGGCTCTTGTGTGGGAGGTGGAATGTATTTTATAGTCACTCTGTGTGATGCGGAGAGATTGACCTGAATCAGTATCTCTGCATGGACAAGAATGGAACTGTGACATTGCTGAGGAATGTGACTCAGAACTGGGGGGAAAGTGGTTAATGTCTACTGATGTCTATTATTTGCCCCTTCTTGTGTGGTAAATGTTTTTATTATCCTGTAATGGATGAGACTCCAAACTTGTTAGGTCTCTGACTTTCTCGTTGTTTCCAAACACACACTGTCTCCCTGGGATTCTGTTTTAACCATTGTTAGGGAGGAATTGAAAAAACAAACTACTGAAAGCCACTTAGGACTTCTTTAGAAACAATATCAGCATGATTGATGCTGAACGAAACACAACATAAAGGAATACAGTAATCTTCAGTAATCTCCCACCGAGAACAGCAGTCAAGTCAACAGCGCAAGCGGCGACAAAGAATGGCTAACAAGCAAGCAAACAGGAGATTTCCAATCACAGGGCTCGAATATTTTAATACGGACGGCTGGCGCAGCAAAAACAGATAATTCTGGCAATAAATGGAATATGTAGCTTATAGTGCTGGGCATCGACCTTCTATAACATTGGCTGTTTATATATTTATATATGTATGTATGTATGTATGTATGTATGTATGTATGTATGTATGTGTGTGTGTGTGTATGTATGTATGTATGTATGTGTGTGTAACGAAATCCGGGTTAAACAGACTCTGAGAAACAGCCTTTCGGTTATTTATGCGTATGTGTGGCTATTTCGTGCAATTACAAATAAAACAAACTACAGAATCACCCGACCTCCCATTGAGGTCGTGTGCCGCTCATTTACCGCCCAGACCTTGCGGTTAACCACAGAATAATTGAGGAAAGGCTTGGTGGTCCACGTTCGTCTGCCGAACACGTGGCGGTCGCCATTTTAAATTGTCGAACACTCAGCGGTGGATGGCGGCGATGCCCTTGAACTATTTTCGGACACTTATTCCGCCGAACACCGCTGGCGCCTACCAGGTTCCCCGTTCATACGGCTAGAAACACACGAATGCCTGGAACACTTTACCGTTCGGGACTTTTATGCTATACGAAATAGACCGACCCCAGGTAGCTACAGTTATGGAATTCTTTTTCGGATACAATCACGCGAACAACCGGTGAAATCAAAACTTCATTCGACGATATTGAGAACTGTGTTCGTGGGATCTGAGTGCTATTCGACTACAATGTGCGCTCAGATCCAAGCTATCTGGGGGTATGTGGGACTTAAAGTTTATGTTCGGTGAAATACAAGTTATAGATTTTAATACTGTTTTAGGGAAATATAAAAAAGACATGTTTTTCTCTACCTGGAGATAATCAGGGTTTCTTCCACCACTTAAGTTAATTATCTCCAGGATAGAGAGGAGGGATTTACCTATGCAAAGGGGAGTGCTTATGTTTGAGCCACTGCGATTGGCTACTGTAATTCTTTTGTCCCAGTCTTCCATCTGGTCCCCTAGGGGAGTGTCCACCAGGTGGGAGACCTGCATAAATACCGGGCAGGTAGCGCTCATTAAATCAAATCGTTTTACCCCTTCATGAAGTCATAGTTACATAGTTACATAGTTACAAAGCTGAAAAGAGACTTGCGTCCATCAAGTTCATCCTTCCTCACAAATGTTGTTGCTGTTGATCCAAAAGAAGGCAAAAAACCTGGTCTGAAGCACTTCCAATTTTGCCACAAACTAGGAAAAAATTCCTTCTTGACCCCAAAATAGCAGTCAGATGTCTCCTTGGATCAATCAGCTATTACCCCACTAATTAGAAATTATATCCCTGTATGTTATGTTTTTGTAAGTATTTATCCAATTTCAGTTTAAACATCTGTATGGACTCTGACAAAACCACCTCTTCAGGCAGAGAATTCCATATCTTTATTGTTCTTACTGTAAAAAAACCTTTTCTTTGCCTTAGATGAAATCTCCTTTCTTCCAGCCTAAATGTGTGACCTCGTGTCCTATGTATAACCCTGTTTATGAATAGATTTCCAGATAAAGGTTTGTACTGGCCCCGAATATATTTGTATAAAGTTATCATATCCCCTCTCAGGCGCCGTTTTTCCAAACGAAACAGATTTAATTTTTGTAACCTTTCTTCATAACTAAAATGCTCCATTCCTTTTATCAATTTTGTAGCTCGTCTCTGGACCCTCTCCAGTGCCATGATATCCTTCTTTAGAACAGGCGCCCAAAATTGCACAGCATATTCAAGGTGTGGTCTTACCAGCGATTTATAAAGAGGCAAAATTATATTTTCATCCTGAGAATTTATGCCCCTATTTATACATGACAAAACCTTACTGGCCTTAGCAACTGCAGATTGACATTGCATATTGCTGCCTAATTTGTTGTCTATAACAATGCCCAAATCCTTCTCGTGTGTGGTTATCCCTAATTCACTACCATTTAGTGTGTAAGTTGCTTGTGCATTCTTAACCCCGAAGTGCATAACTTTGCATTTCTCTATGTTAAATTTCATCTGCCATTTTAGTGCCCAGTCCCCCAATCTATCCAAATCTCTCTGCAACAAAGCAATATCCTGCTCACATTTTATTACTTTGCAAAGTTTTGTGTCATCTGCAAACACTGATACATGGCTTTCAATGCCTATTTCAAGATCATTTATAAATATGTTAAATAGAAGTGGTCCCAAAACAGAACCCTGAGGGACACCACTTACCACTTTTGTCCAGCCTGAAAATTTACCATTAATGACAACTCGTTGTACTCTGTCCTTAAGCCAATGTTCTACCCAAGAACAGGAATATTCATCTAGACCAATTTCTTTTAGTTTGAAGACTAACCTATTGTGAGGAACCATATCTAATGCCTTGGCAAAATCCAAGTAGATCACATCCACTGCAACACCCAGATCTATACTTCTACTTACTTCTTCGTAGAATGCAATTAGGTTAGTTTGACATGACCTATGTTTCATAAAACCATGCTGATTATTGCTAATAACAAAGTTCTTCCCAATCAATTCCTGAATATTATCCCTTAATAGCCCTTCAAATATTTTCTCAGTTACTGAAGTTAAGCTCACAGTTCTATAATTTCCAGGCAAGGATTTTGAACCCTTTTTAAATATAGGAACAACATCTGCCTTCCTCCAATCCTCCGGTACAATACCTGAAACAAAAGAATCTCGACTCATGTTTGGAGGATTGGGAGCTATAATCACTTTACTTCAGCTGGATTTCGTGAGAAGCTACAAGGATCAGCGCTGCACAAATAGCAGGATCCGTTACAGTGTGTATATATATGTATGTGTGTGCGTGTGTGTATATGCATGTGTGTGTGTATGTATATGTATGTATGTGTGTACATATAGGTATGTGTTTGTATGTATATATATATGTATGTGTGTGCGTGTATATGTATGTATATGTATGTGTGTGCGTATGTATGACTTGAGAAAAGCTGTCATGTTTTGCTTATTTTAATAAAAGTCTGCAATCTGAATAAATGTGTGTGCTTGGTCTCTCTCTGTGTGTAGACGTATTGACACATGAAGCACTCCAGCAAGGCTGACCTGCTTTAGGAGTGTGGTGTGTCCCTTTAATTGTATCTGTTAATTATAGGGATAAGTAGCCAGAACATTGCAAATCCTGGGTAATAACCGCCCCCCCCCCCCTTTAAAAGCAGCATTGGCCCATGTGGGACTATTGCAAGACACTCCCAAGGGAGCATGGTGGCTTCCAGGGGGAGATGTACTTACCTGACCCTCTCTCACCTCACTCTTCCATATCACCTTCGATTCTATCTTCTGATGCATCACCCTGCTGGAGCCTGCGGATACATAGTAATACCCGGTCTATGGAGGATTGTGAGATGGCAGAATCCTCCACAAGTTTCTATTACTTAGTGGGACATATGTTGCATCAACCATTGCTGCAGTTTTTTATTGATTCACCTGCCGTTCCCGTAAACTTCATTTTATATCTTTGGATGTTTCCTTATGTTAGTTTTAAACCTCGAATATCAAGTTGCTAATTATCAGACCTCTTTTATAGCTGACACATTCTGCGAGTTGGCAATCTGCCCGGTATCACTCACATTCACAGCTTCATTTACATCTGTGATTTGTGGACCTTAAACTTAAACTTATTTGTATGCTCTATTTTTGCTTTTTTTCACCCCAGGATTTATTATATTTTTCCACCTTTTGGTGTATTCACTAAACAGGGAATTTTGGGGAGAAAACTAAATTCAGAAAGCGGAGTTGGAGAAATTATCCAAAGCAGCTTTATGTTGGTCTACATTGTGCAATTTGTTTTTTTAATTAATTGTTTAATGTACAATTACCCCCCCCCCCCTCACCACCTTCACAATGATGTGCAGAACCCTGTCACTGCAGTACTGTATTTATCCAGCAGGTGGTAGCAGTGTTTCATTAAAAAAATTTGAATTGAGAAATTTGAAGAAAAGTTTGTTTTTATTGTTCAGTAATATATGTTGTTATTTTATTTATTTATTTTTAAAAGAACCATTTCCAGCTTCTTCAGATGCAAAAACCTCATTACTGAGGTTCGTTATGTTGGATGCAGGTCGTTAGCCAACTGGCAAAACATTTTAATTGTGTGTTGACAAAATGAGGAACGTAGGTAATGTGTGAATAATAAATGGGTAGAACAATCCCATATTAACCTCTTTATTATCCGGTAACGACGGGAACAGGACAGGCTGACAATATGGCTTCTCTTACCCGGAGGAATTTAAGATATTGGCAAACCCCCATATTTAGAGGAAAGAATGCGAAGTCCAGACTGACGCAGTATATTTAACGTGCACTTTCCACCGACAGAGAGAACATGATTCCATCCATCTATACATTGTGTCAGACAAATTGCTGGAGAATGTATATATACAGGTATACGATCATTGTACAGCGCTGCGGAATAAGCTGGCGCTATATCAATACCAATAATAATAATAATAATAATAATAATAATAATAATTGTCCAGATACAGAGAGTGCGTTATCCTGTATAAGGGCAGTATTAGGTTACATTACTCTGTATAAGGGTGGTGCTATGTTACATTACTCTGTATAAGGGTGGTGCTATGTTACATTACTCTGTAGGTAATGTGTTACATTACTCTGTATAAGGGCAGTGCTAGGTTACATTACTCCGTATAAGAGCGGTGCTAGGTTACATTACTCTGTATAAGGGCGGTGCTAGGTTACATTACTCTGTATAAGGGCGGTGCTAGGTTACATTACTCTGTATAAGGGCGGTGTTAGGTTACATTACTCTGTATAAGGGCGGTGCTAGGTTACATTACTCTGTATAAGGGCAGTGCTAGGTTACATTACTCTGTATAAGTAGGTTACATTACTCTGTATAAGGGCAGTGCTAGGTTACATTACTCTGTATAAGGGCGGTGCTAGGTTACATTACTCTGTATAAGGGCAGTATTAGGTTACATTACTCTGTATAAGGGCGGTGCTAGGTTACATTACTCTGTATAAGGGAGTGCTAGGTTACATTACTCTGCATAAGGGCAGTATTAGGTTACATTACTCTGTATAAGGGCAGTTCTAGGTTACATTACTCTGTATAAGGGCAGTGCTAGGTTACATTACTCTGTATAAGGGCAGTATTAGGTTACATTACTCTGTATAAGGGCGGTGCTAGGTTACATTACTCTGTATAAGGGCGGTGCTAGGTTACATTACTCTGCATAAGGGCAGTACTAGGTTACATTACTCTGTATAAGGGCAGTGCTAGGTTACATTACTCTGTATAAGGGCGGTGCTAGGTTACATTACTCTGTATAAGGGCAGTGCTAGGTTACATTACTCTGTATAAGGGCAGTTCTAGGTTACATTACTCTGTATAAGGGCGGTGCTAGGTTACATTACTCTGTATAAGGGCGGTGCTAGGTTACATTACTCTGTATAAGGGCGGTGCTAGGTTACATTACTCTGTATAAGGGCAGTGCTAGGTTACATTACTCTGTATAAGGGCAGTATTAGGTTACATTACTCTGTATAAGGGCGGTGCTAGGTTACATTACTCTGTATAAGGGCGGTGCTAGGTTACATTACTCTGTATAAGGGTGGTGCTAGGTTACATTACTCTGTATAAGGGTGGTGCTAGGTTACATTACTCTGTATAAGGGCAGTATTAGGTTACATTACTCTGTATAAGAGCAGCGCAAGGTTACATTACTCTGTATAAGGGCCGTGCTAGGTTACATTACTCTGTATAAGGATCTTGGTGTGCTGCCTCTTACTATGTCCCTGGGAGACCTGATATACTGCATTGTGGTCCTAGACTCATTCCTGATTTATTGAGCTCTCCCCCTCTCCGCTTTCAACCCAGAACCTTTAACTTACGTTTCCAGTCCATAAAATACGCCTTTAATCTCTTTTCCTGGGGACAGGCAGTCATGCGGTAATTGGTTTTAGAAAATACAGCCACAGTTATCAGACATAGTAAAGGTCCCTTCTGATATGGCGAGGGGTACCCATCCGTACCCACCTGCTAACAGTGTCTATGCCAGCCTTGGGCAAGCTTGGAGATTAAAACAACAATCATCAATTTCTTCTCCCATATTCTTTATCATAGTTTCTCTACCGAAAGGACTCAAATAACGTGAATTCCTAATGGATTCCACCTTTTGTAGGGATTTTTAAATCATTTTTTTAATTGTTGTGATCAAGGGCATTGCTAGCGGGGCCCTGAGTGGGGTCATGATAAGCACCTGGTTTAATTTAGCATGGTGTGGAGCTAACACAGCCGGTGTGGGGTTAAAACAATATTGTATGGGATTATTACAGCAAGCATGGGGTTAATACAGCGTGATAGAGGGTTAATACAGCAGGTATTGGGTTAATACAATATTGTATGGGATTATTACAGCAAGCATGGGGTTAATATAGCATGATACTGAGTTAATTCAGCATTATTCGGGGTTCATACAGCAGGCGTTGGGATAATACTGCATGATATGGGGTTAATACAGCAGGTGCAGAGTTAATACAGCATGATACAGGGTTAATACAGCAGGTGTAGGGTTAATACAATATTGTGTGGGCTTAATACAGCCAGCGTGGGGTTAATACAGCATGATACAGGGTTAATACAGCAGGTGTTGGGTTAATACATGAGGTGAAGGGTTAATTCAGTGTGATACAGGGTTAATTCAGCATGATACGGGGTTAATACCGCAGGTGTTGGGTTAATACAGCATTATACGGGGTTAATTCAGCATGATACAGGGTTAATACAGCAGGTGCAGGGTTAATACAGCATGATATGGGGTTAATACAGCAGGTGTTGGGTTAATTCAGCATGATACAGGGTTAATTCAGCAGGTGTGGAGTTAAAATAGCATGATACGGGGTTAATACAGCGTGATATAGGGTTAATACAGCAGGTGCGGGGTTAATACAGCGTGATAGAGGTTTAATACAGCGTGATACAGGGTTAATACAGCAGGTGTGGGGTTAATACAGCAGGTGTACTTTTACGATTTTACTGCGACACATTCCAAAACGTGACATTGTGGCTGAGAATGATGAGCATTGTTTGACGTGTTAGCACTCCATGTACGTACAATGCAGTGAGATGTGGAGCAATTCTGTGTGGTTCAAGTCCATTTCTCGGCCCAGTTTTCCTGCCTCAATATTTACCATTTAATCTTTCCCTAATGTGGAAGTGACAGTCACATAACTCATGTGAGATATTCTGAGCTCCAATCAGACGACTCCACAGGTAGAGATACCCCCTCCCCCCGACAGAGAGTTAAATGGACTTATTGAACTACAGCCAGAGGACACATTCTGAGCCACATTTAGCAATTCGCTTTGTTGGATCACGTTAACCCTCAATGAACTGGACATGTGAGAGACGGGTTGAGAGACATTTTCTGCTGTCAAACTGTGAAATGGCTGCAACTCTCATTGCTCCCACCCAGCCACACTTTGCTTATTTAACAAGATAATATCCACAAAGCCTCCTACAACTTCTAAAACAATTATTCTCAGCCAGCCGGGAACTCTTTTTAGACTAAACTTCTGTAAGTATGTCAGACATGCTAAGCTCCCATCACTCTCAGTCCTACATCGGCTATTTCTGTTCTTATCGACTGCAACTCTTGAAGTCAGTAACCTCATCGCTGAGTGTGGGACATTTACAGCTCTTCCTACCCATCACTCTCAGACATCTAAACCTTCTTTGGTGACTGCTCTTGTCTCTGGCCATAGAGCAGGTTTGTGCCCCTTGCTGACAATTCTCATCGCTCTCAGTATGGAAGAGGCTATCACTCCAAGCCAGCGACGTTGTAATTATAATTGATTCCAATCTGTGCTGGTTACAATAATTGTCTGTTTGCTGCCTGGAGGTTAAGTGGAATTGATCCTTCAAATTCAAGAGGATTGAAATATTCCAGCCGGCTCAGGGTCTTTAAATGGCTGAGAGCATTTGGTATTTAATAAAAGAAAAGGCAGAGTCTTTAATATATACTGTAATATATGCAGTATATACGATGTGGCTGGTATTAAGTTTACTCTGGAATCATGTGCCATTTACTCATACATAGAAGCCTGTAATGTAATCATTGCTGTGGCTGGCTGAGAATGATGACGGTTTTGTTCACCTACAGTCACATTCTGGCTGGGATTATTTCCATATTCCGCCATTGCGTTACACTAACAGCTTTCATAAAACAGAGGTTTTTAGCTACAAATGAATACATTATATTTGTATTATTTTATTGGGTCAGTTATATAGAATTTGAGATTTTCCCCTGGTACCAGCTCCTTTGCAATCTATTTATCCATAAACCGCAAAATATTGTGCGTCTAGGGGGATACACGGTGACTCGGGATCGCTGCCCACTTTCCCCGCAGTCATCACTCAGTGCTCTCTGCTAATAAAGTTGACAATTGACATTCCAATTAGTTATAATTGAGAAGGGACCAGTGCTTCAGTGAGTTTTAATGGCTTGAAGTGTCTTGTTAATGACACTAAAGGCAGGGACGTACGATACCGATGCCAAAGAAATTTTATGTCCCCGCGGCTTTAACAAGTAAGGAGGTAAGTGCACGGTGATGATCAGACTGACATACTATTATTCCACGTTAGACCACACTACCCCCTCCAATTAGAGTGCTGAGCTTTAGATGTCCTGGATTTTAAGTTGTTATACTCAGAGGCTCCAGGACAAATCCTAAGACTGGCTTTCTGTGTCACTGCCCACCCAATCGTCTTTAGGAAGGAGTATAGGCAGTATAAGCATGTTTGTCCGTCGCTGATTTAGGCCAGCAATTTCCGGTCCACCGCTGGTTCAGGTTTATATAGATAGTTCCCCCATTGAAAAAGAACAGGGAAATGTCTAAAGCCTTCTAGGACTGTTGGTGTTCCTCAAGGGCCAGGTTGGGAAGCATTGCAATAAGAGATGGAGTATCACCGTGACCTCTCGTACTATTACACCGTCTTCGAGTGGTCAAGCAGGGGAAGCCAGGATGTTTCTTCCAGATTATCCAAACCTCCCGATTAGGCTGCCATTAGCTTTCTCTTTCCTAAATTCTACAAGAGAAGCCTTCTCGGTCCTGACTGACCCCAGCAGGTCACGTTTTCTGAGCCATCTCCTGCGGTCTGCGTTTTCATTAGACGGACGATACGTTGGAACTGTGTCGCTGGTGAAGAACAAAGCTCAGGGCGACCTCAAAGTGAACACGTTGACTTCATGGCTGGAACAGGCTGAATGCAGCATTTCAAATGTGTTTTTTTAATAAGTGTCAGAATTACTAGTGGGATTCCCATCTGCCAATAGTAAAACTAATCAGTCAATTTGGCCAGAAGTCAGTATATCTCTCTACAAAGGCTTCCAGTAAATGTGACATTTATAAGCTGCTGAAGAAGGTGAAAAGTACATTTTTTGAAAGCAGTTTTGCCTTGGGAATTTTTCTCTTATTGAAATGTACCTTGGTCCAAAAAAGGTTGGGAGCCATGCTCTACATAAAGGACCACTCTGCACCCAAAATACAATTAAGCTTGCTGAAGTGTGTTACGGTTGAGGAGTAGCCCATTAAAAAGGCACTTTTATTATTATAGGGATTCTCCAGTGCCAGGAAAACTGCAGGACCCTGGAGTGCCCCTCTCCCTCCCACCCCCCATCCCAAGTTGCTGAAGGGATTAAAACCCCTTCAGTGACTTACCAGAGTCCAGCACCAGTAATGCCCCGAACATTAAACAAGGCGGACGTCCCGCCCCTATGGGTGCTGCACTATTATATTTTTTGGTTTTTACTTTGTAAAACCACTAGAGGGAGTGCTTCATTACTGATCTGCACTTTAGTTAAGGCCCATTCACTTTACCCTAAACTGCTTCATCAAGGGAAATGGCTTTAGGGGTCTGGAGTGTCCCTTTAAAGAACTCAGAGACCTGTTTTAATTTGAAAATAATTACAACTGTATAAGGTGCAAGCTGTTAACCAATGAACCGATTTGCACGTATAGTAAAATATTGCCGTAATATCTAGCTATGACACTGGGAGAACAGGTTCAAGGCAAGCTTTACTCAACACATTCTACGATCCATCCAAAATACAGAATATTCCAGGACAGATCCAACATGGCGTCAGGTGAGAGGTGTCCTCTCCGAGCAAAGCGTCAGATCCAACATGACGTCAGGTGAGAGGTGTCCTCTCCGAGCAAAGCGTGAGATCCAACATGGTGTCAGGTGAGAGGTGTCCTCTCCGAGCAAAGCGTCAGATCCAACATGGCGTCGGGTGAGAGGTGTCCTCTCCGAGCAAAGCGTCAGATCCAACATGACGTCAGGTGAGAGGTGTCCTCTCCGAGCAAAGAGTCAGATCCAACATGGCGTCAGGTGAGAGGTGTCCTCTCTGAGCAAGGCGTCAGATCCAACATGGCTTCAGGTGAGAGGTGTCCTCTCCGAGCAAAGGGTCAGATCCAACATGGCGTCGGGTGAGAGGTGTCCTCTCCGAGCAAAGCGTCAGATCCAACATGACGTCAGGTGAGAGGTGTCCTCTCCGAGCAAAGAGTCAGATCCAACATGGCATCAGGTGAGAGGTGTCCTCTCTGAGCAAGGCGTCAGATCCAACATGGCATCAGGTGAGAGGTGTCCTCTCTGAGCAAGGCGTCAGAACCAACATGGCGTCAGGGGAGAGGTGTCCTCTCTGAGCAAGGCGTCAGATCCAACATGACATCAGGTGAGAGGTGTCCTCTCTGAGCAAAGCGTCAGATCCAACATGGCTTCAGGTGAGAGGTGTCCTCTCTGAGCAAAGCTTCAGATCCATTTTCAAGAGATGATATAATACGAGTTTCGTGGAATGCATTGTAAATGGCCTGTTTTAGTTTTTCTGGTTGTTTTATGTACACATTATCGGGGTATATGCACGTTAAAGGGACACTATAGTCACCTGAACAACTTTAGCTTAATGAAGCAGTTTTGGTGTATAGAACATGCCCCTGCAGCCTCACTGCTCAATCCTCTGCCATTTAGGAGTTAAATCCCTTTGTTTATGAACCCTAGTCACACCTCCCTGCATGTGACTTGCACAGCCTTCCATAAACACTTCCTGTAAAGAGAGCCCTATTTAGGCTTTCTTTATTGCAAGTTCTGTTTAATTAAGATTTTCTTATCCCCTGCTATGTTAATAGCTTGCTAGACCCTGCAAGAGCCTCCTGTATGTGATTAAAGTTAAATTTAGAGATTGAGATAAAATTATTTAAGGTAAATTACATCTGTTTGAAAGTGAAACCAGTTTTTTTTTCATGCAGGCTCTGTCAATCATAGCCAGGGGAGGTGTGGCTAGGGCTGCATAAACAGAAACAAAGTGATTTAACTTCTAAATGACAGTGAATTGAGCAGTGAAATTGCAGGGGAATGATCTATACATTAAAACTACTTTATTTAGCTAAAGTCATTTGGGTGACTATAGAGTTCCTTTAAGGTGATATCAATATATTAATATGTTTTATCTCTAATAACTACGAATTTCTGCAATTAAATGAATGGTCATTCTAAGTAAATTTACATCATATAAAATTAAAAAATAACTTTCAGTGTTTTATGTGGAGATGTGTTATTCAATCTTTACCTCCTCTGCATTCACACATTACCTCCTCCGCATTCACAGACTTACCTTTTCCGCATTTACACACTTACCTCCTCCGCATTCAGAGACTTACCTCCTCAGCACTGACACATTACCTCCTCCGCATTCACAGACTTACCTCCTCAGCACTGACACATTACCTCCTCCGCATTCACAGACTTACCTCCTCAGCACTGACATATTACCTCCTCCGCATTCACAGACTTACCTCCTCAGCACTGACACATTACCTCCTCCGCATTCACAGACTTACCTCCTCAGCACTGACACATTACCTCCTCCGCATTCACAGGCTTACCTCCTCAGCACTGACACATTACCTCCTCCGCATTCACAGACTTACCTCCTCAGCACTGGCACATTACCTCCTCCGCATTCACAGACTTACCTCCTCAGCACTGGCACATTACCTCCTCCGCATTCACAGACTTACCTCCTCAGCACTCCCACACATTACCTCCTCCGCATTCCACATGAATTTACCTCGCATTCACAGACTTACCTCTTGTTTCTCTTTTCTAGGCGAACGTGTCAATGACAATGCAGGGATTCTGAATGACTGGTCCGATTCACTAAACCCAGGCCATCAGAGGGTGGTTCTGGGTGAGGAATATACGAGTATTAGATATTATATTATTATTTTATTATTAATTAATAGTGTGATTAAATAGTTTTTTTGTATTTATTGGATTTTTTTGGTTTTGGTTGGGCTTTGAGGCTTTGATGGCAACCAATCCCACTGATAAAATAAATCGGAGTAATCGATTGATATCAGGATTTGTAAGACCAGGAATCAGTGCTAAGAGGGGGAGTTGCATTTTTCACCTAAACCTGTGTTGTGGGCACTGGGGTACTCGAATATCTAACAGCTGAGCTCCAGCCTTTCCTATAATTTGATTTACTCACCCAACCCCTCCTTCTAGACAGCGCCCAGTCCCTCACACCCCAAACGGAGCACATTTACACACGTTTACTGAGAAATATTCTTATATGGAATAACTGGAGAAGCATTAAAGGAGCTATGGGGCTACCTGTAGGTTATGGGGCTACCTGTTGATTATAGGGGCTATCTGCTGGTTATAGGGGCTACCTGTAGGTTATGGGGGCTACCTGTTGATTACAGGGGCTACCTGCTGGTTATGGGGGCTACCTGTAGGTTATGGGGCTACTTGTAGGTTATAGGGGCTACCTGTAGGTTATGGGGGCTACCTGTAGGTTATGGGGCTACCTGTAGGTTATAGGGCTACCTGTTGATTATAGGGGCTACCTGTAGGTTATGGGACTACTGTTGGTTATAGGGGCTACCTGTAGGTTATAGGGGCTACCTATAGGTTATGGGGCTACCTGTTGGTTATAGGGGCTACCTGCTGGTTATAGGGGCTACCTGTAGGTTATAGGGGCTACCTATAGGTTATGGGGCTACCTGTTGGTTATAGGGGCTACCTGCTGGTTATAGGGGCTACCTGTAGGTTATAGGGGCTACCTGTAGGTTATGGGGCTACCTGTTGGTTATAGGGTCTACCTGTAGGTTATGGGGGCTACCTGTTGGTTATAGGG